GTTGGTGCTTTGTCTTGGCCTAGATTCTCACAGTCCCCAGCGCTGGAACTAGACAAATTCTTGGAAGATGTGAGGTATGCCCCTTTCTCCTATAATGACTCTCAGTGGGATTCTGTTACTGAAGCTAGCTAATGTCCTGGCCAAGCCAACCTGGCCCCTTTGTTGTTGGTTCACTGAATTAGCTTGCAATACATAGAGTTGAGTTATTCCATTTGTGGTTCCACAGAAATGGAATTTATCCACTTACTGCCTTTGGGCTGCCCCGACCTCAGCAGCCACAGCAGGAGGTGGTGAAATCTCCCATTGCCCCCCCATCAGTAAAGACTCCAACACCAGAGCCAGCAGAAGTGGAGACTCGCAAAGTGAGTAGCTGGTCCCTAATCCGCATCTCCTTGGCTGATAATAGCAAAGCCTCGCCTTATCACACTCCTTTGTCATTTCCAGGTGCTGTTGATGCAGTGCAACATTGAATCAGTGGAGGAGGGTGTGAAGCACCATGTATGTATCTGCCTCAAGCTGGGTGACTTATACCAGTCTAGGGCTTCCATTTGCCTACAATGGCCTATTCCCTTTTGGGGCAGAATTCTACCTAGTGTTGAAGATGAAAATGCAATTTCCTTTTTTCTTCTATGCCCCACCTTTCATTCAGTTGACACTGCTGCTGAAACTGGAAGACAAATTGAATCGGCACTTGAGCTGTGACCTACTGCCCAGTAAGTCCTTGTTCTTTTCTTCTTTTCTTTTTCATCTTAAGAGAACATACCAATTCTCTCATTTTCCTTCCTTAGGTGACAATATTCAGGAACTGGCAGCTGAATTGGTTCAGTTAGGATTCATCAGTGAGGTAAGTTTCAGTCCTGTTCACCAAAATACTTCTTTTCTTCTCTTTATGGGGAACTTCATTGTAGCCAGTAAGAGTATAGGAACAGGTTTTCTTACAGTGTTTTTTCCCCCCATTGTTTTGTAGGCTGATCAAAGCCGTCTTAGCTGTTTACTTGAAGAGGCATTCAACAAGTTCTTCTACTCACGGAATGGGGCACTGGCAGCTGTCACTGTATCATCATAATGGCCATCTTGCTGCTAGCAGGTGTACCTGCTCTGCATCTGTGTAGGGTACTACTCTAAGCCGCTGCCACCACCGTTGCCAGCTTGGATGTGCCTCCCGCATGTGTTATAGCCAGGTCCTGCAGACAATCGTTGCCAGTTTTAAAGGCAGGGGGGCAAGGTGTGGGGGGGAGGGCTGTGTGCCTTGTCAGTATTATTTTCCCTGTGGCCAATGGCCTTCCTTCCCTCTCCCTCTATCTGGGCTCACATGCATGGAGTTTTCTTTTGCTTGAATTGTACAAAGGTTATTTTTTTTTTTTGCACAGCACAGATGTCTGTCTTGTTATTTAAAAGGGTGGGGGGGGACGGAGAAGTTAAGTTCTACCCCATCCCATGCTGGCCCTCCATATTACACATGCACTCTCTAGCCCCACAGTCATTGCCTTATCCCCTCCAGATGGACTCTTCTCCTCCCCACAGTTGCTTCATGCACCAGCCTTGCTTCCAGTATCCTTGGCTGCATCTATTGTGTGGTGTGAGGGTTCCATCTGGTCAATAGAGGAAGTAGATAGGAAGTTCCAGTTCAGATAGCAGGTGGCAATGTTAAACCATCTTTTCCTTTAGGATATTATCTAATGCCTGCAGGCTTGGGGCCAGTTTATCAGAGAAATTCAACCTTTCCTGTGCTGGAGCTGTTCCAAGTGTCATTTCTGTTCCTATTTTTAATAAATTGTTTTGTAAATAATTAACTGCAACCTGTTTGTGATTGGAATCTGGGAATCGGAATCACAGAGTTAAAAGGAGCCACTTAGTGCATTCTTCTGCTCATTGGGAAAGGGCAAAAGTGGTTGGTATTGGGCTGTTTGTACTCCTGAAATTTCTTGATCACTGCTTTCATATTTTTAAAGGTATGATCTCATCCACTGACTGCATCTAGGTTGAATCTGAACCTCATTTTGGCTTCTGCTTATTCACCAAAAAATTGCTCACAGCTTTTGCTTTAGAAAGAAAAATGCTCCCTTGGTTTCTGAGAACTATGTTCTGTAGCAAATATTATTAGTTTCTGGGTTGTGTGAGTTTTCTGAGTTTGTTTGGATTTTTTTGAAGACGTTTTGTCTGTTACCTTTTGTCTAGGTAACATCTGGAAAAGATCCTAGTACTAAGATTTTATGTAGGCTGATATCTGAAGACCTTCCAGTGTTAACAATTCTGTGTTGAACAGGAAAAAAACCTTCCATACTGTTGAGTTGATTGCTTTTACGAATGAAGGCAAATATATGTTTCCCAGGACAATTGCAAGATCCAATCTGGGTCCATCACTGGGACCAGAGATTTAGTCTTCTGAGTTTTCAGATTCATGTTAGAGCCCATCCTCGGGGAACTTCTCTCTATGTCCTATGTGCTTTGAGCTATTCTGTTTCCTATTTATGTGGTGCTTTCCTATTGGTTGATTGGTATGTTGATGGCTGGCGATTGGTTGTTGTTTCCTTGTGCTGCCAAGTCCTCAGCTCCTAAGTACTTGATTACTTTTATCTTATGCAGTTCCTGATGCAGATAAAAGGTACTTATAATTCTATCTATCTAATGGTGAATAAGCAGACTGTAAGTTGCAGGCTCTTGCTCCCTTTTAATGTACAGCATCACATGGGTTGCATCAGTCAGCTGAATTTGACTTGGGGACCAGGTGTCAGTTCCTTACCTGTATCATTCTGTTTAATTGGAACTTCAAAGGTAAGAACAGAAGCTTCTTTCTAATGTAAGAGGCTTAGGAGTATTGCATCAGCACTTGGTATGCAAAACAGTTTGAATTTAAGTGACTTCAAGATTGAAAGAGCGAGTTTAAGTGTTGTAAGGTTGGCGCACATGGTCAAATTGGAATGAAAAAATGAATTTTGAATGTAAACACTTGCGCTGAATTCAGACTTATTCTACATAGCATGATAATCACTGCTTTCTAAATGAAATGGGTTAAGTATTTAAACATGGGGGAAAAAGTAATTGTTGCATTCTGCACCTTGAATCTACAGAAAAGCCTTAACTCTCATTAGCACATCAGTATTCTCTAATCACCTACAACCAGTAGGAAGCACTTTGTTGCCATGTTAAGAATAGCACAATGACAGTACTCACTTAGTAATCTGAAACTTTCTGAAGGATTAACTGGCCTCACCAGGAGGCATAAACACCTGTTGTGGGGACTAAACAAAGTTACAGATAAGGCTTCCAATGCCTGACTTAAAATAATTGATCAAGAAAATGTTGTAGCTTCAGCTAAGCAGCTCACAGTTCTCTCATAGCTTGGAGGTTGTTAAGATCTGAATAGTGAGGAGCAGGTTTGGACTCAACCCAAGCAACACTGTGGGTATGGATTCCAAGTTCTTTTATTTCCAATAGCTTTCCCAGCTTTAGATCTGGATGGTATTGCACTTCCCCAGAGGGAAAAACTATGTTATCTGAAGCTCTTTCTAAATTTGCATCTCTTAAGAAGCCATGCCAGAAGGACCCTTACTTACCTTATGTCTTTGCACTTAGCTTCCCACTGCAACTCATGGTGCTGGTTGATTCTACATGGCTTTGATTGATTGATCAAATCATTTTTGACTCCTAATGACCACATTTTCTCTGACAACCCATGCCTGTTTTTTCTGAACTCCCAAAGGTGCATTCATCAGTACTGTAACTGAGTCCATTGACCTTGCTACTGGTCATCATCTTCTCTTTCCTTCCATCTTTCTCAGAGATGGAGCTTCTCCAGAGAGTTAGATCTTTGTATATAGTATGTCAAAATTAGGATAATTTGTGTCAGTGAGAACTCTTGGTTGATTTGTTCAATGATCCATTGGTTTGTTTTCTTGGCCACCATTTTCTCAGGAATCTTCTCTAACATCAAAGTTCAAACTCTTCCTATCTTGATTCTTCAAAGTTCCACCTCCAGTTCCACAGGGAATGGAACACAGGGAGTGACATAGGGAATACCATGTCCTGTACAAGTTTGATCTTTGTATATATGGACACATCATGGCTACGTGGCTTAGGGCATGGATAGCTACACCACCACCACCTTTCTAATTGTATTTGCCTATATTGTAAAGTCTAGTAGGATTGGCATTCTATATGACCCATCAATAAAATAATGTCCATCTGAGAACCTCAAGAAATGTGTCTCTGTGTTCTTCCTGCCCTTTGGAACAGCATTCCCCTGATACCGGCATAGTCCCAATTTTCTTGTCCTTTAGGGAAGCTTTAAAATCTTGTTTTTCCAATGGGCCATGGGCCCAGGCAATTTGTAAGGTAGCATCAGAAATGGGATATTTTAATTTATTATTCCCTGAAAGTCTTTTTCTTTCATTTTTATTATTGGTTTAACCTCCTTTAATTCCTGCATGGTATATATTACACACTACAATTACAGTTCTTACAGTTTTAATTATGAGTGTTTCTGTTTTCAAGTCAAGTTAAAAGCCTCTGAATTGAACTCAACTCCGGATGCCTTCATGAATTCATTCACTAATGCACTCTTGAAGGATGATTTTTTTTTTAAAAAAATCCAAGTTAGCTCAAGCCTTGAAATGTCTTAGTGGCCTCCATTCCAAGTACCAAACAGATTTGACACTGCTTGGCTTTTAGATAATATATACAGTCTTTAAAATAGACTTCCTCATCTAATGCCTTTAGATCCATTGGAATAAAACAGCAAACTTCAACATATAGCTCACACTAGCCAAATGATTACAGATTGGAGGCAGTTGCCTATTGGCTCCATTTGAAATGCAATCCTGTGCCAAAGTGAACTTTGTTCCAATGCAGCATGACCATTATAATCCAATTTTCCACAGCCTCCCCTTTCATACTGTTATCTTTTGTCACCTCCCTTGAGTTTCTGTCTCTAGAGTTGCAGGACATTTGACATAACGGATAATAAATGCCACATCAATTAAAGAAGGCAGACAATATCATTATATAAACAAGATATTTAATATGGGAGAATAAATATCTAAAGGGGGTTGAAGACTTAAGGAAATGCTCCGGCTGAGTTGGTCACTGGAAGGAGAAACTGGTGCTGGGCAGCCCTCCACACCACTGGCTGATGAATTTGAGAACATCCTGGCAGGGGGGGCTGTGTGACATCTGCAAAGAAGGCATGAGTAAAACTAGGGCTGAGATCAGAGTTGATAGATTTAGGCTATAGGGCAAGCTTGCCTACTTTTCTTATTTATTTATTTCTTATTCGTATTTCTATGCCACCCACTCTCCGAGGACTCTGGGCGGCTTACAACAAAGACAACATGAACAACATATCTTGCCCTGTGCCCTCTTCTACTTATGATTGCTAGCTTGCTTTCTTATACCTTCATTCTCTTCCTCACCTTGACTGCCATCAAAAACTTGTTCCAGCTTTCCTTGTTTGCCTCTTTGCCAGGACACTTGAATTCCACCTTATTTCTTAGTACAGGATAGCCTGAGTGGGGAGAAGGAAAACAAAACATATTAAAAGGACATAAAGAGGGTCTCACATATTGTAAAACTCAGCTGAAGGAGCAGGTTCCTGCCCAGGAAATAATTTCTCTCTTCAAATTTTGGCAAACAAAAAATCTTTCTATGTATTCTGTTGAACCTTAGGGTAGCTTCTTGATCATACTAGAGATTAATTTGGACTATTTTAAATATAGAATGCCTTAATCCTCAATTTAAGATCACAATTGATTCCCAAATTCCTATTGCTAAACAAGACAGCTGTTGAGTTTTACCCCATGCTACAATTCTTCTTGCCACAGTTGTTAAGTGAATCTGGCTTCCTCATTGTCTTTGCTTTTCAGAAGGTTGCAAAAAATGATCAATTATCCTGGGACATTGCAACTGTCATAAATATGGATCAGTTTCCAAGTATCTGTATTTTGACCACGTGTCCAGGGGGATACTGCAATGGTCGAATGTGAAAAAAGGTCGTAAGTCACTTTTTTCAGTGCTGTTGTAACTTCGAATGGTCACTAAATGAAGTGTTGTAAGTTGAGGACTAGCTGTATATGCCCTTATAGCCTTAGTATATACATATGCTATAGTATATGGCAGGGTGGATAAAAATCAATGGTTTTTTTAAAAAATCAAAAAAATCAGATTTTTTTGATTTTTATCAAATTTATTTTAATAAACTTTTGGGGTAAAAATCTATCGTAAGATAGTTTTCTATTTAAGATACATAAATAATTTAGTTTATTCAGCATGAAATGGAGCTTAGTTATGTAGCATGAGGCTGTATATTCTGCAACACTGGGACTATCGGTGAGTCAACAGTGGGTCAAAGGAGTAGCAGAGATGACAGTTGCTCTTTAAAAATTATGATTTAAATCAAGTTGATTTAAATCAAGCCTTTTTACTAGTGATTTAAATCATGATTTAAATTGTGATTTAAATCAACTCGATTTAAATCAAATCCAACCTGGTATATGGTATACACAAAGTTATATCAGACATCAAACAAAGTTATATCAGACATGAGCTTAACAAAATGGACTCTATCCCATCCAGTTCAAACATTTAGGAATGTCCTGATGAAATTTTCTCCGTGTTGTGAAATTCATGGGGTGTGAATAAGGTCTGTCAGGCCTTCTCCGTGGTTACTCGCATGTTCTGGAATTCACCCCTCCCCTAAATTATACATGGTGTCTTGTGTTTTATTATTTTACCCTACTATATCTTTGTTTTGAAAGATTGTGAGTAATCCTTATAGTTAGGTTATTTCATTTTGAATGCCGTAATTGTTTGTCTTGGTTTTATTGCCTATCATAAAGCAACGAACTATTTTAAAAAAGAGAAGTAGAGTAGTTGCAGATAACTATAAATGGACTCATGGATTCAACCAGGACAAATTAGCTTTCTTTAGTGAGGAAACTTTATCACTAGTCAGAACTGTGGATGTGATTTTAAAAATATGAAATGCTTAAAATGATAATCTTTCAAGGTAAAAACTTACAAGTTAAAATGTACAGAAGTAAATGCTAAAATATAAATATAGTAGGCAAAACAAAAAATTGAATAGTGATAAATGTATTAGTTAAAAGAATGGTATATTAAAAGAAATCAAATGCAGAGTAGAAGTTAAGTTTAACATTCTTCTGAACGTAAGCAAAGCAGCACCATATATTTTTTGGTCAGGAGTTTGGAAGAAGAGGGACTTTCTAAATAACTACAGGACAATTTAAAATACTTTTTCTCTCCTTATTCTCCCACAGTGGATGAGAATAGGGTCTGAAAAAATGGACAAGTTTATATTGGGGTGGGGAAGAGGCACCATTTGAAAATCTTATGGAGGGAAGATGGGATATGTTCCATTATACCTTCAGCCATGCTGAAATGCCATGCTGCTCTGCTCACCTGTGATAAGGCAGGGCAGGGAGCGCACACCTGTGCTCGCTGCTACCAGAGAAGCTTCGTAAGTATCACGTTCATCTTGTGGCAGTACCTGTTCCAACCGCTGATCCATGGAGACAGTGAGAACCCAGTCACGGATCTCCTCACGCTGGTCTTCCTAGCACAAATAAACATATGACACTCAGAATGAATGAAAAGTGGCAGCAGTAATAATACTTGGGATGGTGGTGAAAGTGTATGAGTCAACAGAACTGGGAATCAGGCAAGGAATATCCTTTTCCAAGGCCCCTTAGAAATACTGTCTCCCCTGCTCGAAATAGAAATGGATTGAAATTGCGCATGCATACGAGAACACACTCACTGAGATATGTGGCTTGGCAGGCAGTGGCACTTCAAAAGGGATATCTGTATTCTGGAAGTCTGAGTGGTCTAGAGCATCAAGGGAGCCCTCTTCAATTGCCTAGGAGAGCAAATAACATCAGAAAGAACAAACATGGAGTCCTTTTCCCTCCCCACCACTCTCAAGAGTCCCAGATAAAACTCACATCAGTTAAATCAAGGAAACGGTTTAGGAAGATAAAAGCCATGTTCTGCCAACCAACACCCTGCAAAGATGAAAGAGAAGGATGAACTATCTTTCCCAGTTCTCTGCCAAAAGTCAACACTGATTTCAGTTCAACATGGCAAGTGTGTTCAAATGTTTTCAAGCTAAGATTGCTGGACTTTTGAGTAGCATATTGGAAATCGTGCTCCACAAAAGTACTACTATTTTTTTAAAAAATGTTTAATTAGAATCAAAGGAGGCAGATAATCACACTCTCACATTTATCTGTGGGATTAGATGAAGAGTTGAAAATCAAATGTTCTCATTCAATAGTAATCTGTAGAATAGATGCAGCTATAAAGCTGGCAAAACATAATATGAACAATAAATACTTTTTTCTGTAAGACCTATATAAGTCACTGATTGGGAAATTTAGAGACATCACAATATATGGTATTATCTTGTTTAATCCTCTTTTTAAATTACCTAAATTGGCAGGCTTTGCTACGTTGTGTGAAAGCAAATTCCACAGTTAAAATGAGTACTGTGTCAATCATCTGCCACCATTTAACTTTAATGGGATGACCATGAGACTAATATTTTGAGAAAGGAAAACAATTCTCCACTTTACTAACGTTGTATATTGTATTTATCCCATCTTGCCTTTTACCATGCTCAAGAATCCAATTATTGTAATTCCTTAAGAGTTCCTTAGAGCCTAGAGTCCATCTGGACTGAGATAGTGGATACACTGCTTTAGTTCTCTTGATCATTTGGCCATTCTTATACTGTAAAATGCTTTAATCCTTTTAAAGATTTTCTAGAGACCATTTGTTTGACCATTTGTTTGTAAAATCTAAAGGGGATTCTGAATGTAAGAGGTGGAATCCTCAGGAAGTCAGTGCAAGTGTCAGGGTTCCGAGTAATGCATCAACCAAAAGCACAACTCAGAGACAGGTATATTCCTGAAAGAACATGTTTATTGGACACACCATATCGGCACAGCTAGTGAAAACCAACTCTAAAGGTTCCTGCGGTTTTCCCCCAATTAAAAGAGGAAACAAATATTCCCTCCCCAGGTGTCACCAGTCACATTGTTCAATGAAGGTAACTGGAAGGCTGCTACGTCACTCCTCTGCCATCTGTTGGGATGACCTTGGTTCCCACAGGAAAACTTCTTGTTTTGATGGGTAGCCGGTCTATCTACTTCCCCCCCCTCCCTTCCCCCTTTCAAAGTTTGTGGCAACTCTGAGGCAGGAGAAATATGGCTTCAGCCAGGTAAGCTTCAGAGTTGACAGCAAGCTTGTCACATTCCTACAAAACGGGTGAAATGCTCCCGGTTCGGACTGGATCACCCGATCCGGTAGCGATGGCGGCGGGTGGTTCAGAGAACCGGTAGCAAAAATCCCTGCACCACCACCCCCATGCCCAGCTGAGCTGCACGATCATCAGAGACTTTTTTTTTTAACTTTTAAAAGCATTTTTAAAAATGCTTTTAAAAGTAAAAAAAAAAAAGCCTATGATGATCGTGCGGCTCAGCTGGGGTTGTCAGAGGCTTTTCAAAGCATTTTTTTCTGCAACCTCTTGGCCGAAGAGATGGTAAAAAAATGCTTTGAAAAGTCTGACGATCCCAGCTGAGTTGCCTGATCGGCAGAGGCTTTTCAAAGCATTAGAAAAAATGCTTTGAAAAGTTTTTTTTTTTTTAAAAAGTTGGCCGTGCCCACCCAGTCACATTACCTCCCCAAGCGACGCCCACAGAACCGATAGTAACAAATTTTACATTTCACCCCTGCTACAAAGCATACAAGGAACCAGCCATTTTGCCATTTTGCCTTATTTGGCATTAATTGGCCACAAATTCCCCCCCCCTCAAACTACCTGGATGTGACCTACCAACGAGCTTCCTGCTCCTCACCTTAGCTGCTATCCCTGCTTCATAGAAGGCCTTGTCTGCTGGAATGATCTCAGTATGGCGCAACAAAGAGATGGAGAGCTTGGCTGCCACAGTTTCCTGGGGGGGGCAAAAAAACCACAAACTCAAACTCTAACTCTGCTCTCTAGCTTCCATTCTTAAGAGATGGCACTTCTTCAGGTCAACCAGCCCTCCTAAGACAAAAGTAGTCTGTTCAAGTGGAGTTAGTTGCCCCACCCTTGCCTTCTTTTTAAAAATACTGCCTGTAATTATAAGTCATGAGTTAAATGAGTTAAGAGAGAGAATCACCCGCTCCCTCCAAAGTCTCAGAAAAGGAATTTAGATATCCAGGATTGCAATTTGATATTTGCGTAAAGTGAAATATACAATGAATCTATAAAGAAGAAAAGTTCTGAAAGTAGGAGTCTTCATGAGAAAATTAAGTTGCAATTGACTAAGAGATGTCATAAGAACTATTCTTTCCTGACTGACAAACCTAAACAAACAGACTTGGTTGCCAGTTGCACAAGGCCCACAGACTTTGTAGCCATCCAAATCTGAAGCAGTACTAACAAGGCAAATATTGTTATTTTTTTTATTAGATTGTGCAATCAGAACTCCATGCGGAAGAAAGTGAAATAGTAAGAAATGTAGGGTTTAAACAAGCCAGAGACTAGTAAACCGGTTAAGTCCTTTTGACCTGCTGCCACCCTTCTCTTACCAGCTGTTTGATGCTTTGGGCTGCAGACCGTGTAGCATAGTAGTGAGATATAAGCAACATGGTTTCAAATTCCTCATGAGCTGGTGAGTTGGCTTCACTTGATTTCCCTAAATTTTCACACTGTACGAAAGGGGATCATGTAAGTTTTCTGGAATCTTAATCATTTGAAATTGGAAAAAAAAATGACCTTTATCTGACATATTTGTTAAAAAGAAAGAAACACCGCAGATTGTGGTCTCATATAGGGCTATCTAAACACTTCATTCACCCCACCAAAGAGACTGAGTAATAATGAAAAAGCTGCTCTATCTGAAAATATAGAGGTGCCACACAGATATTTTGTACTGCAGCTTTGTTTAGGAAAACCTGTGTGGTATTAACAACAGCGCACAGAGCAGTAAAATGAAGATCAGGTACTTTACATTCAATGGTACATCATACATTTACTTTAAGCTGTACTCACCAGGTTGAAAAGCACATCCCGCAAATCAGCCCAGCTGTGATAAGCCTCTGGCCGATTCATACTGGCTGCATTCACCATCTCCACAAATAGTCGTTTATAAATATTGAAATTCTGAAGAGAAAATGTGAGAAGAGCTTTGCTATGAACAGAAGCAAGCAAATTTTCCTAGCCAGCTGGGACTCTTCTTACCTGGGCATTGGCGGGAGCACCATTCTGAACATAGAGGCTCAAGACTTTGTCCCAACTGTTCTCGCGGATCAAATATGTGGCATAAAGAGCCACATATTTATGCAGCACTTTATAGTTCTATAAGAAGCCAAAAGGGGAACAAAATAATATGGAAGACTCTAAAACAAATAGCAGTTTTCCATTATGAAAAATGATCTGGTTAAGTAGGAGAATTCCTTTCTGGTTGAACTATATATCTTTAGTGTTTCCCATTTCCTAGTGAAACAAAGTAACCATGCCTTTGTTTGCATTCTGTCTAAATTGATATTCCATTCATCAGTTCTGAAATCCAATTTTATCCCAATCAATTCTGTGCAGGCAGTCAGCACTACACTGAACAGGCAATGTCAGGATAAGTCCAATAGAAATGTCAATTATTTCCCCTGAAGGCTCAAACCTTGATGATTTAATTTATTCAATTAAATGAATTTAATACCCATCTTCAAATTGGTTCAGGGCAATATACCCCCACCCTATTGGCCTTCTGAAAAGCGGTGAAGACCTGGCTTTTCTGGCAGGCCTGGGGCCATTGATCTCGCTGTTGTGATCTTGTGACATCCGGCCATGAATGGTGTGAATGGGTTTTAATGTTTTAATTTTTAAATGTTTTTATAATGGTTTTCTAAATGCATTGTAAGCCGCCCTGAGTTTCCGGAAAAAGGTGGCATATAAATTGAACTAATAATAATAATAATAATAATAATAATAATAATAATAATAATAATACCATACAACTAACAGAATAAAAATAAACAAGAAGTGATGGTGCGTTTTTCTAACCACACACAATCTGGGGGAGTGAGGGCAACCACTCAAACCCAAAGCCTGAGAGAACAGCCTGATCTTTTAAGGCTTTCTAGAGTGCCAGCAAGGTGATAGCTATGTGGATATTATTTATTTATTTATACATTTGGTTTATATAATTATCCAACTCACGCTTGTTATTTATTTGTATGCTGCCTTTATTATTTTTACAAATAACTGAAGGTCCAAAACTATCCAAAACGTTTCCCGCGTCCTATTTTCCCCATAACAACAACTCTGTGAAGTGGTTGGGCTGAGAGCGAGTGACTGGCCCAAAATCACCCAACTGGCTTTCATGACTAAAGCTTAACTTGAACTCATAGTCTCCCACTTTCTACTTGGATGCTTTAACCACTAGACCAAAGCGGCTTTCATAGTGGAATGACAATTTCTTTTCAGTCTCTTTTGCAGACAGATCTTTGGCTCCTAACTAAAGCAGTGGTGAATAGAAGATGGACTCAATTCCCGTAGCTTCATAGATCTACCAAACTCAATGTTTTAGGCACATAAGGGAAGCTAAAATTGCTTAGGGTGTGTTGTCAGACAACATTTGGCTCCTTTCATAGAAGAACCACTTGGGGCCTTTTACATACCTGTTTGGCAGCTGTCTCCAGGCACTTTTCCCACTGCCCCCTTTCCACATACATATCGAGGGCAGCCATAACATCCACACCCACAAGCTGTCAAAGAGAGATCAGCTATAAGTCAGTCACTTTAAACAATAATGATACAGCAGTACCAACCTGGCCAATTCTATCCTTTGTTCTCTAGTCCCCTTCTAGAATTGCCAAATAATATTTGGCTGCACCAAGACCTTTTGATTTAAATTTCATTACTTTTTCCTAACCCTGTGATTTTTGACTCCCCAGTCACAGTTTTTAACATTTTCCAAAATAATTATTGATAGAAGAATGACAGATGTATTCAATTTAAGCTGCACCTTAAAAATCTGTCTCATTTCTATTTATAAAGATGTAAAGGTTCTTCAAAGTATTTACTTAAAGTTCTCTCCCAACTTTTAATGCCTCCCACTTTCCCCTTCATCCCACTCAAGATTCCTTCTCACCGAATCAACTTTGCCTTGATTCTTGAGATATTCTTTATAGTGTTGATCCACATATTCTTCATACCTGCCACAAAGAAAGTTTGTCATTTCTGTCCTAGTAATAAGGCAACCTTAGTAATAAGGTGATGCAGCAGGAGGCCTGAGAAACTGACAGCCTTCCACCTAAGCAGCATTATATATTCTTATTCAAAGTCTATTATTTGCAAATCACTCTCAGAAGTAGAGTTTAGTACCTGGGGTCAAATTCTTTGGCCACACCCTTAGCTTTGTTCCACTCTTCTCCCTCCATGAGGGCATCGATGGCTTCCTTGATTAGATCAAGGTTGAGGTATAGCTCTACCGCCTGAGGATGTGATGGAAATGAGAAATTTCTATCATGTATTAAAATAGAAGTAGATATGAAGTTTGGGGCTGTACAGAGAGGTTCACTGCATGTCTGGCCTGAGAAGAAATAAACTTCCCAGGAATTTTGAAACTACAGAAAAAAACATTTTTAAAAATGTTTTCATTTTAAAAATGAAAAATGAAAATGTATAAAATTAAAATATATGCAATATTTATTTGCATGCCACATTTATCAATTTAAATTCACTTGGCTAAGTTAAAAACATGCAGGAGAATATGTATGACATGTTTCTGCATACAATTATGCTTGGAATATTTATTAAATGTAAAACTAATTTCATCAGTGGCTACTTTTAATAATTGAATTTACTTTTAAAAATTTTTAAAACTTTGTTTTGGCATTCCTTTATTCTTCTTCCATCCTTTGAGGCTAGTCAAGAACAGACCCACCAACCTCTATGTAAACGTCAGCCATAGATGCTGACTTTTCACAGAAACTGACAGTTTCACAGAAACTGAATTCTCCTTTCTTCATTGGTAAAAATAGCATTTTGCCCTCTGGGGACAGAAATTCATTTTGTATTAGTTTGGAGAACTGGACTGCACAGCTTGTCTTCTGTATACATAAAAGTCTTCCTTTAAAATAGAAAAACATGTATCATTTTTTTCAGTATTCTAAAAGAAAATTAGAATATTTTTATCCTCTTTGTTCTCTTTCCAATCTTAAAAAAAAATGGGAAAAAAATGTTTGCACAAACACAGATGAGACTAAACTGCCCTTCAGAAGTTTACTCTTACCACGCTGAATTTGCCAATGCTGACCAGCTGGGGTCCCACTGTCCTCATCACCTCAATGCTCCGAGACTGGCCAAGAAACTTGATAGAAAGTTCAGCTGCCTGACATGAAAAGAAGCATTCACCAATGAAGAAATATCCCTTGTACAGTGTTTTTTTTCTTTGTGCAGAGACTCTTGCCATAATGATTTACAGCTTACAATACTCCATCAAAGACAATTTGGAATGGTAATTTTGTACTTTTGGGGAAAAAATTGAACAACGACAATCAAAAGGCAAATCTACTGCCACCAGCGAGATTGGCCAAGATGTACCCAAATTTATCACCCAATTTTATTTATTTATTTATTTGTTTAAATTTCTATACCGCCCTTCTCCAAATAGGACTCAGGGCGGTGCACAGCCTAAGTAAAAACAAAGCATACAAAATTTAAAAAACAGTATTAAAATAATTAGATATCTGGCCGTAAATTAAAACAAACCCAATTTTAAACCAATTAAAATTTAGCTCAAGCCAGCCAGCTAGTTGAAATAAATAAGTTTTCAGGGCCCGACGAAAAATCCGGAGGTCTGTTAATTATACGTAACTCCGGGGGAAGGTTATTCCAGAGGGTGGGCGCCGTTCACAGAGAAGCTTCCCCTGGGGGTCGCAGCCGACATTGTCTGGCGGACGGACACCTGAGGAGCCCACTCTGTTGCGAGCGTACTAGGCCGTGGGAGGCTAGTGGTGGCAGTAGGCGGTCTCGTAAGTACCCCGGCCCTAAGCCTTGGAGCGCTTTAAAGGTTGGTCACCAACACTCTTGAAGCGCACCCGGAAGTACGGGAGCCAGTCCAGCACAAGCAGGAGAGGTGTCACATGGGTCGCCTCGTTAAACAATAATCCCCACGCGGTCCCATTCTGGACATTCTATCCTTCTCAGTCCCCCAGGCCAAATAATAGGCCCCATGTGAGAGCGTTGCAGTAGTCAAGGCTAAGAAGTGATTTTTGCCCCCAGTCACTGTTTTAGATTTTCCCGATCTAGAAAAGGGGCGCAACTGGCGTATTCAAGCGAACCTGATAAAATGCCCCCCTGGCACGGCCGTCAAATGTCTTCTAAAGACTTCCGTGCGTCCAGGAAGGACGCCCAAGTTTGCGAGCCCTCTCCGTGGGGGCGAGTGATTCGCCCCCAATAGACCAGCGATGGCGTCAGCTGGCTATATCGGGACGCTGGAAGCCACAGCCACTCGGTCTTGGAGGGGTTGAGTCGGAGCCTGTTTCTCCCCATCCAGGCCCGCACGGCCTCCAGGCACTGGGACATCACTTCAAGGGCATCGTTGGGGTGGCCTGGGGTGGAGATGTACAGCTGGGTGTCATCAGCGTACTGATGGAACTCCACCCCGAAGCCACGGATGATCTCACCCAGTGGCTTTACATAAATGTTGAACAGAAGGGGCGAGAGGACCGACCCTTGTGGCACCCACAAGCAAGGTGCCTCGGGGTCGACCGCTGCCCCCCCCGTCAACACAGATTGCGACCGGTCAGAGAGGTAGGAGGAGAACCACCGCAGAACGGTGCCCCCCACCCCCAACCCCGCCAACCGGTGTAACATGATACCATGGTCGATGGTATCAAAAGCCGCTGAGAGGTCTAAACAGGACCAGGATAGAGGAGCAACCCCTATCCGAGCCCTCCAGAGATCATCCACAACGCGACCAATGCGTTTCCGTGCTGTGCCCAGGTCGGAAGCCGGACTGGAGCGGGTCTAGATAGACAGTTTCATCCAGGTACCGGGGAAGCTGTTGTGCTACCACACTTCAACAACCTTCGCAACAAAGCAAAGGTTGGAGACTGGACGATAGTTAGCCAAAACAGCCGGATCCAGAGAGGGCTTCTTGAGGAGGGGCCTCACAACCGCTTCTTTCAAAGCAGCCGGCAGGACCCCCTCACTCAAAGAAGCGTTAACAATCTTCTGGAGCCAGCCTCGTGTCACCCTCCGGGAAGCAGTACCAACCAGAGGGACACGGGTCCAATAAACATGTGGTCGCATTCAGCCGTCCCAGGACCTGTCCATGTCCTCGGAGCCACAGGATCGAACTCCCCCCAGATAACACTCTCAAGACCTGCCTCTGTCATCCCATCCGGACATACCCAGTCAGAGGCCAGCCCTTCCCGAATCTGAGCGATTTTGTCATACAGATACTGCACAAAGTCCTCAGCTCGGCCCTGCAAGGGGTCATCCCGCGCTTCCAGATGGATGTTGGGAGCTGGTCACCCTAAAACAGGGCGGCCGGGCGATTATTGATACTTTTGTTGAAAAACGCGATAAGAGCGGCAAAATAGCTAGATTTTGCCGCTTTTATTGCCACTAGGTAGGTCTTAATATGAGACTCACCATTGTTGGAGATGTAACCATAAATCCAGAACATTCTACCATATGTGGTCTATGTGCCCGATCACAAGGAAGTATTGATGTAAAATTCAAAAATTTTGGAAGAAATTACAAAGCAAAAAATAGATTTGAAACTTGAACTGTTTTGATTAAGAATACTGGACCCGAAAATGAACAAAAACCTTCACTACATTACACTACACATACTCACTGCAGCAAGAATCACATTCACAAAAAATTGGAAACAAAACAGTATACCCTCAGACAAAACAATAATTAGGAAAATTCTAGAATGCGCAGAGATGGACAAAATGACTATGGAGTTGAAAGAGAGAGACGATTCGGACTATTATGAAATATGTAATAAAACGTACAGTTGGCTCGAAAATAGAAACCAGAACAAGAAATGTTTAACTTAATACTGATGAAACTCAAATTGGAGTAAGTAATAACATTAAATAAAGAGATGTAAATATAAACGAATATAAATGTATAGATAAGAACAATGAATATTATAATATATCTCCTCCGGGTCTCGTCAGCTAAACAATGTCGGTTGGCGGGCCCGCAGGGGAGGGCCTTCTCTGTGGCTGCCCCGGGTCTCTGGAACCAATTACCTCCTATGGTTCGGACCGCCCCCACTCTATTGGCCTTCCGGAAAGTGGTGAAAACCTGGCTTTTCCGGCAGGCCTGGGGCCATTGATCTTGCTACAGCGATCTTGCGAGACCCAGCCATGGAATGGAGTGTATGGGTTTTTAATGTTTTCTTTTAATAATTTTTTACGTGATATTGTTCGCATGGTTTTTTGCTGTAAACCGCCCAGAGTCCCTAGGGAGTTGGGTGGCATAGAAATGCGACTAATAAATAAATAAATAAATGTATGTGTATGTGTGTGTGTGTGTGTGTGTATGTATATATATGTATATATATGTATATATATATATATATATATATATATATATATATATATATTTATATATATATATATATATATATATTCAAAAAATTAAAATCTCGGGTATTTTCCCGCGTCATTATAAATAAGTTGGTTAAAATATTTAAAATCCTGGTTAAAATCCCAGTTTAAAATCTTCTAAAAATCCTTACAGAGCACTCTCCAAGGTCCTTTAAAACCTCAGCTAAAATCTTAGCTGGTTTTAAAGGACCTTGCAGAGTCCTCTGTAAGGATTTTTAGAAGATTTTAAGCTGGGATTTTAACCAGGATTTTAAATATTTTAACCAACTTATTTATAATGACGCGGGAAAACACCCGAGATTTTAATTTTTTGCATATGCACACCCGCGAAAACTTAAGAAGACACACACAGACACACATCGGAATAAAGTGATTATCCTACTATTGAGTAGTAAATAAAAATGATAGACTAGAGAACTACAACTATGTATGCCGATACGGAATGCTGTAAAATTACCATTAATGGTATGTAATGTTTAATATGTTATGTCTTGACGTGTTTTGTTTTTATATATGTGTGATTGTTTTTTGTATTGTTTTTAAAGACAAACTGTTTAATAAATTTTTTTAAAAAAAAACCAAAAGGCAAATCTAGCTTGAATTAACAAAGAAGCAGAGGCACACTGATTTAGAAAGTCTCATTTGCCAAAAGAATTCCCACGCAGACACTTCTTTCAATTTCCAACTTTTCTCCATTTCTCTCCTTCAAGTACATTGTATACATCCAACTGACCTAAAATTTCATAAGTGGGGAAGGCAAGCTGCCCTTGAGCAATTTCCTACCTTCATGGAACATTTTTCCATCAGTGCACTGCTGCTGGGGTCCCGGACCTTGAGATAGCAGTCCACAGCTCTGGCATATTCACCTGCTTGCTCCCACTCACGTGCCTGCTCCAGGAGCCCCTCAATGCCCCTACCAATCAACAGAATCTTAGTCAATGTCCAGAAAGGGACCACGAGATTCCCTACAGCTTGATGTTGAAACTCCTATCTATTTCATCCCATAGAATTAGAAGGAGAGTCCCAGAGATATCGTAAAGACTGAGAAGATCCTAGTCCTTTGAAGCAATTAGTTGTAGAAACCTCAATAAAAGAAGGCTAAGTGATTAGGTCTTTGAGAAACCCAGCCTTAATCTTAGGGCTGAGTGACTTTTGCCTATCAGCAAGCCAGCTTCCAGAAACTTTCCCATACCTCTCATGACCTATATACCTGGGTCCTTTTTTAGCCACCTCCCGTTCATATTCTTCCTGTAGAGCCTCCAGATCTCCTGGTAGAAATTCTTTACAGATTCGGAGAGCATCAGTCCACATAGCAGCTTCCTTGGGAAAAGAATCATGAAAAGTATCCTTACTTGGCAAAGGAGAAAGGGAGAAGCTCCTCTTAATTATCCTTTTCCCATGAAAAAAGGAACAATTGTATAACTGGCATAACTTCTACCCTTTGGAACTACAGACTGTCCTTGATTTAGGATTATTCGTTCAGCAACTGTCTGAAATTATAATGGTGCTGAATGAATGGCAATTATGACACGTTCTGGCTGTCCTAGCATCCTTGGTTGATCATGATCACAATCTGGTGCTTGGCAACCACTTTGCACTTACAACCAATTACAATGCCCTGTGATCACCATTAACGATCTTCCCTGTCAGTTTCCCCAGAAAATCAATAGGGAAGCCAGCAGGAAGGTTGCAAGTCACTGTGGTTAAGCCTCCACCACTCTCCCCCAGCCCATCTGTGCTCGTGCAATGTCAGCCATTTGCACCCCCTCATGGACTGGTGCTGTACATCATGCTTCCTCCTTGACCTGTGTTGCATTCCCATGTACCCTTCCTGACTCACATGCTCGCGCACTCCCTTGCGCACCTTCCCCAACTCTTGTGTTGCTTTTCCCATGCACCCGATCACTTCCTCCCCCACCCACTTATCTACCTGCCTGCCGCCCTGGCACTTATAACTTCCTGCTGGCTTCCCCATTACATTGGCTGTGGGAAGCCAGCAGAAACTAGCCTTGCCTAACCACTGCAGGATATATCAGGCCATATTTAATTTGCAGTGGATCATTTAAAACTAGCATGGTTTGTTTTACTAAGCCAATGCCCATGTTGTTGGCCACCAGCATCTTTGACACTGCTAAGGAGGACAGGAGGAGGAAGCATTTCCCCCTCCTGGCTAGTACCCTGTTTCCCCTAAAATAAGACTTCCCCTACTAATAAGCCCAATCGGGCTTTTGAGCACATGCACTAAAATAAGCCCCCCCCCCCCCAAATAAGCCCTCCCCAAAAATATTTAAACGCATGCGCAGCCGGTCCCTGCCAGTTACTCTGGTTTCCTCCACGCACCCCAAAATAGTAAGACCTCCCTGAAAATAAGGCCAAGTGCTTATTTCAGGGTTCAAGTAAATATAAGACAGGGTCTTTTTTTCGAGGAAACACGGTATGCTTCTATGAAATTCCATTTCATCTACTGCTCCCATCACCAAAGAAATGCTATCATGTTTCGATCACAATCTGGTTGCAGAGAACGTCGAATGGAACTCATTTTCTTTGGAAATCTCTAAGGAGTTTTAATAAGATGGTATTTGGTCTGAGTAAAGTGGCTTCCTCAGAGCAATAGAATTAACAACTGGATAACAAAGTGGGGTTTAAAAGCCATCTGCAGTGATTTTCATGCAGGACCAGAGTTTACTAAACATCTCCCTACCCAACCAAAATGTTTCGCCAAATAGAGCAGTCCTGATGTTTTTTTTTTTCTATTTACCTTGTAGTGTTTCACAGCAAGGTCAAGTCGCTGAGCCCGCAGCAACAAAGCTTCTGCTTTCTGGAACTCTTTTTGCTTGAAGGCAGCATCAGCTTGACCAACTAGCACAATCATTACACTCTCTGGGTCATGGACTTCAGCTACTCGCTGGGCAGCAGCCCAGTTCTGGGCATGAGCATACCTAAGTGAGTGGGGAGCACATTAAACCACTGGAATTGGACAGAGGCAGAAAGCAAGAGTATCATAGGAGGGTGGAGGTACACTCACATTAGAACTGCCTCTTTAGGTTTCCCGGCCTTCACAAACTCCACCTCTGCCTCTTCAAACTTGCCCTGCATTTAACAAGAGTGGCATATTTACCACATGACCGGCATTACTCCAGGAAGGAGAGCAACCATTAAGAAACACAAGGAATTCTACCTCATCTTCCAGGAAAGAGCCATATTTGAAGTGGATCTCAGGTAGTTTCTGCTTCAGGGAGAGTCTAGCCAACTCAAAGGCAAAATCAAAAATGCTATGGAAGAAGAAAAGGAGGTGGAAGGAAGAATTGTGTCTCCCATCCCAAACCACTTCAATTTCAGCAGAGTGAAAACTACATACCACTATCGGGCAACTGTCGCATGAGGTTAAAACCAACCTGATTACAAAAGAAGCACAGCAAGAAAACCCACTCAAGGCACACACAAAAAAGGGCACCTGTAGTTATTGCAGAACCCCATGCCTTGTTGGAACCCCGTGGGCAGGTTCTACCCCTTGAAAATCTCTGGCATGAGACAAGACATTGGCGAATCTTGCCTCCTTTCTAATGGAAGACCTTATTTGGATATACAGTAAGTCTTTCTCTCCTTGCTGCTCACTTGTTGTCAGCTGCATGGTCAATGGCCATTTCAAGAAGTCCAAATTTGTTGAGCAGTTTCACGGCAGCCTCTCCACCGAGACTCTTTGCCCACAAGAAGGCCACATGCTTGTGAGAATTTGCTCCACCGTGAGCTTTTGCCACCTGTCTCAAATCAAAACAGAGGTAAAAGGACAATTGGGCCTAAAGCAACTTACCGTTGCCGCCCATCAAACATAACTTTTCCATGACTAATGGATATGTCCATCCTTCAGTCTTTTCTTTGTGCATGCCTTCTTCTGGCACCTCCTAATGCCCTCTACTCTTTAAGGCTATGTAGTAAGCACGCAGGTAGGAAGTATGCTAGTAATGTGATTCTGGACCACATACGTAGCTCCTAAGCTCAGCCTGGAACAGCTCAGAGATCATGCCACAGCTGTTGCACCAAAAGGAATTTATGTATGCTGCTCTTACCCTGTAGGCCTCATCCCACATATTGTTCACGCGATACATGTTTACAGCTGCCTTCCAATCCTTGGCTTCAAGGTAGTGATATTCAGCCTCCTGCAGATGCCCATCAGCTTCCAGTTCCTGAAAAATAAAGCAGAAGGTCACCACCAAACCTGGTTTTCTTCTGTTACATCTCCTCAAATGCTTTACCTTGCCCAAGTGCAAATGTGTATCGCTCAGCAGATCCTTGTGGTATTTGGCCAGCAGATGAATCATCTCGTCATACATCTTGCAATTCTTGTACATCGTAATGGCCAAGTCTGGTTCATCCACAGTTATGTAGAGCCTGAAAAAGCAATAACTTGGCACTGAAAATGTTGCATCCCCAAATAAGGATCCTATCTAGAACTACCGTGGTGATACATATTAGCAAAAAAACTTTAGCCTGTGAGATTCACTGACATGTCCCCAAGAGTTCTACTTAATAATTTGTTTACACCAGTTGGAAGCTTCTCTTCTCTTTCTGCCCCCAGCCAGTTACAAATTCCATTCTTCTGGTTTAAAATATATAGAACTGAAATATCTCTCACCTCTCAGCCTCCTTGTACTTTCCCTGCCGCTCCAGCTCCTGAGCTTGTGTAATGTACAGCACTGACACATCCTCTGGCTTCATACATTTTGATGCCAGCTGCAAGGAGAAGTGGGAGCAGGGCCTGGGCATGAAAGGATAAACTCTCCTTCTCCAAATACCCACAAGAGATGTACAATACCCCATTTTGAACCGTTCTGGATAACCAAACCAAATTGCTTCACACCCTCCCATTGCAAGCTTTATTCAAATGCATTTTCTGGAACTGGGAACACATGGACCATTTGATGCCTCATTCTTCTCTGCTCTGGGTTGACCAGAACACACCTACAGTAGATTATTGCATCCAATTCTAGGTGCATTTTAGGAAGGACATTGACAAGCTGGAATACATCTAGTGAGAATGTGTCCAGATAAGGTGCCTGGAAAGAAAAACCTATGAGTATAGGTAGTCCTCAACTTACATCCACAATTGAGACCAAAATGTATGTTGCTAAGTGAGAAATTTGTTAAGTTAGCTTTACCCCTTTTTACAACTTTTCTCACCACATTTGTTAAACGAATCACTGCAGTTCTTAAATTAGTAACACGGCTGTTAACTGAATCTGGTTTCCCCATTGACTTTGCTTGTCAGAAGATCACAAAAGGGGATGACAGGATTCTGGGACACAGCAACGGTCCTAAGTATGAATCAGTTGCCAAGCATCTGAATTTTGATCTTGTGACCACGGAGATGCTACAACCGTTATAAGAGTGAAAAAAAGTCATAACTCACTTTTTTCAGTGCCGTTGTAATTTAGTGACCATTAAACGGTCACTAAATGAACTGTTGTAAGTCAAGGACTACCTTTAATGGCTGGAGGCATTCATTATGTTTAGCTAGGAGAAGAGAAGACTGAGGGAGGACACAATAGTTCAGACCTATTCCAGAAGGAAAGGGAAGAAACATCATTGGCATCCTTCAGTCTCAAGAGACTATGGTTTTGTGCTCTGGAAAGAGGTCCTAAACAGCATCTAGTGTGACTAAAAAGGCCAATTCGAGAGTGGCCATCCCTTCCACACTGAGGGCAGATACATTCTGTCCTCTGTCCAGTCCCCAGATTTCGCTGGTTCCGGGACTGCCTCTTTGCCTCAACCTGCCGAACAAGTGTCTCTTCGAGACTGCGTCTTTAGCCTCCAAACTGAACAATCGGAGGTCAAGGTTTCCCAGTTGTTAATGTCCATTTCCAGGGCCTTTAGGTCCCTCTTGCAGATATCCTTATACCGCAGCTGTGGCCTCCCTCGGAGGCGCTTTCCCTGCACTAGTTCTCCATACAGGAGATCTTTTGGAATCCGACCATCAGCCATTCTCACGACATGCCCAAGCCAGCGTAGACGTCGTATATACGTGTATACATGCTAGAAATTCCAGTACGTTCCAAAACTATTTAAAATACAATGAAGAATATTGCTGTTTGACATCAGTAAGAAAATCCTTTAATGACCAGTCGGGAGTTATGATGGCCTTGGAAAAGGTTCTTTACAGACCATAAAGCACTTCTGGCCATTGTAAAATGTAAAACGTTGCCACATGACCATATTCCAGGCTCTTGGACTGGTTGCAACATCCTGTGGTCCTATGACCACAATTTGCAACAGTTGTTGCCAATTTATAGTTTTAAAAAAAGCCCATTTGGGAGAATGGATTAGACTTAGGACTGTGTGATTCGCTTAACAACCACCATAAAAAGAGTTGTAAAAGTGGATTCAGTCATGAGTGCCTCAAATTATGACCACCACAACTTAACAATTGTAATTCTGGTCCCAATTGCATGGTAAGTGAAGGACTTCCTGTATTTCTTCCTACATTAGACTTCTTGAAGGTTTTTTGGACGGGACAAACAATTGGTTGAGAAGTGTTTACTATGCTCTTCTGGCATTCACGGAACACAAAAGGGCATTTTTCTGGAATGTTCTTACCTTATGTGCCTTTTCCCAATGTCCAGCTTGGGTGTACATATCAATGGCATCCTTGATGTGGTCTCCTTTGACATACAGCTCCTCTGCTATCTAAAGGAACAGGCAGCTTGTTATTTTTCCATTGTGTCAATGGATGAGTGTGTATGGAGGGAGAAAGTTGTTACCTCATACTCTTGCAAGGCTGCATAGTGTTGGGCAATTTTGGGGTAATAGTTGGCTGCTGTTTTCCTATCCTGCATGTCAAGAATGTATATAGCTTTCTTCCACTGCCGAGCCCCAATGGCTGCTTCAATGGCCTTGATAGCACACCTGGAAAAGATCACATTCCTTAGAGCAGGGTTGTCAGACTCAATTTCATTAAGGGCTGCATCAGGGTTGTGTTTGACCTTGGGGGGGGGCATGGCAAGGGCGCGTGGCCAGCTTGACGTCACTGGTGTCAGGGGCACCAGTGGCGGATTGAGTGCTCTGCCAGCGAAAACGAGCTCCCAATCTCTGTTTTCGGCTGGGACGGCCTCCTGCCACCCTTTGCCAGCAAAAATGGAGCTTGGGAGGGCCGCATTCACTGGCAGAGGGTTGCAGGAGGCCATCTCAGTTGAAAACAGAGACTGGGAGCCCATTTTCACTGGCAGAGGCACCTTAAGCCGGTTGTTCATTGTTTCCAAGGCAGCCCCGTGGACCAGATCTAAGCACCTTGAGTTTGACACCCCTGCCTTAGAGTAAGGCTACCACAGGACCCACCCTGATCCTGGGTGCCAGTCCAACATACAACTTTCAGGGTGCCAGTAACTACAAGGAAGGTAGTCCCAAAGAGGCTGTATGCCCTCCTCAGACCTGGCCTCAATGTAGTGGTTGATAGCTGCATCTAGTTGCTTCTGTTGTACAAGGTGGTCTCCCCAGGCCTCCTCCAGCTTTACCACTTCTGCTGGAAAAACTGAACGAGAAAGTTCTACAGCTGCAGGGAAAGAAAGAACAAAGAGCATGTAAGGTGAATTAAAGGGACCGGATCTGGGACAAACAAGTCTCTTTAAGAACTGTGCAGAACCTAAATCTGCCAATCCAAGGATGGGAGGGGGAAACAGTGTAAACCCTTTTCTAAATATCTCTTCCCTTGGTCCTTTTTAATTTTTGCCATAAACAAGATTTGCTATATACCGTATTTTTCACACTATAAGATACACTCCCCCCCCCCAAAAAAAGTGGATGGAAATGTCTATGCATCTTATAAAGCGAATGTTGCTGAAGCCCGACCACCCGCTGGCCCCCACCCTTTAGCCTTTGCCTCCCAGCAATTTGCCTCCGTGCAGCAAACAGCAAACAGCCTGGCCAGCTTCAGCACTGCCTGATTTAGAATGAGCAGCTGACTGGTGGTTGGATTGGCCTCTCAGAATACCACCAATCAGCTGTTCCAGGCTGTGGGGGATTGCCGCCACCCATCACTGTTGTCACCACCCATCGCTACTGCCTATCGCCGCCTTCGCACACCCCATTTTTGGCCTCCGTGCACCCCATTTTCGGCCTCCGCATGTTTTTAGCCTCCATGTGCCCTATTTTCAGCTTCCATGTGTCCCGTTTTCAGCCTGTTCCAGGAGACAGGGATTGATGCTGCTGTGGTGATGGCAATCCTGGCTACCTGGAACGGGCCAAAAATGGGATAAATGGAGGCCAAAAGTAAGGGGTGCTGAGGCGGCAATAGACAGCGGTGATGGGTGGTGGCCATCCCCACAGCCTTGAAAAGCTGATAGGTGGTATTCCAGGAGGCTGATCCAACTGCCAATCAGCTGTTCGTGCTAAATCAGGCTGTGCTGAAGCTGACCAGGCTGTTTGCTGTTTGCTGCAAGGAGGCAAATTATTGGGAGGCAGAGGCAGATTATTTTTTTCTTGTTTTCCTCCCCAAAAGCTAGGTACGTCTTATGGTCTGGAGCATCTTATAGTGCAAAAAATACAGTAAGTAGTCCTCACTTAGTGATTGCCTTGTTAATGATCATTCAAAATTACAACGGTGCTAAAACAACCCATTTATGACCTTCACATTGCCTCTCTGCTCTTATTTTTACTTGCTTATTGATCTCATACCAAAATATGCTCAAGGGGAAAGAAGCCCAGTTCGGCTGAAGGATGAAGAAGCAAAGGAAAGCTGAAGTAAAACCATAAGCATGCTCACAATCACATGATTTTCACTTAGTGACTGCTTCAATAACTTGAGTTGCTGGTTCCAATTGCGGTTGCTAAACCAGGATTCCTTGTAAATGACTTTGTTTTGCCTTCTAATATTAAATTTTTTAAATAAACACCCAATAAAAATGTAGAAAATATAACATTTGAGAACTTATAGTCAAGCTTCAACCTCAGAAGAGCCTTCTTTTCTCTCTCTCTTACCTTTCAGAAATGAGTTGCCCTTGCGATAGCACTCCAGTGCTCTTTGTGGGTTCCGAATTTTTTCAAAGAGTTCCCCAGCCTGAAAAAGAAGAGAAATGCATCAGTTGAAAGTTTACCAGAGAAAAACTGCCCAACAATACCAAATGTTCAAAGGCAGATCAACCACTTTTTATGCAGGGAAGTATTCTGTAAGCAAAGGGAGGTCTATCAAGCTCCCTCCTGCTGTCAGACAACCCAACTGACTCCCTACATCGCTGTATTTTTCTCATGGAATGCTGACATCTCACTGCTCCAAGGCATCCCTGCAAAAGTCTTTAGATTGAAAATCACTGCAGTGGAACTGGAGACTTTGAGGTGCCTTGAAAATTGAACAACTTTGTGGCCTCATACTAATAGCCCATTTATAATTTTAAAAAAGGATGTTTGGGGGAAAAGAGTAACCAAATTTAGAGAGTAGTTGCAAGATTTAATGAATTAAAATATAGAGTATAACTTCTACTAGACTGACCCGTAGAAGAACTTACCCCTTTCCTTTCTCTTAGTAAAAGTTCTTTTTTTTCATCTTGAGGCAAAACGTAAACCCTCAAAAAGGCACTAATATATGTAGTCCTTAGAAACACATTGAAATTAATGAGCTGAAGGCAAAAGCAACTGATAGCCTAGGCCAGGGTTCCCCAACCCCCGGGGCTGCGGCCCACTACCAGGTTGTGGCCTATTTGGAACCGGGCCACGCGAGTGGCGGGCTGACCCATGCGCATGCTTAACTTGTACAAGTGGCAGGGTGGCGTGCACTCATGCACATACACACTTATGCAAGTTGAGCTGCACGCGAGTTGAGCTGTGTAGGAGCTGAGCGGCGCATGAGCTGAGAGGGCATGGGCCAGCCCACCACTCACACGGCCCAATTCCACTCCAGCCCCCCAGCCAGGCCACCAAGGTTTGGTACCACTGGCCTAGGCCATCCTCTTATTCCATCATCACCCTCATAGTCACACAAGTCCTTTTTCTTTCAACCTCTAAAAGCAATGAACTTGTTTATTGTGAGCCTATCCCCTTCCCAACTCTGCCAATCTAGCCATGCCTACCACTCTTTCATAGTCTCATCTTACTGCTCATTGCTGTGTAAGTTATCATCTATGGCCTAGATAACATTGGGAAGATCTGCCAAGATGCTATCAACTACAACCCTGAAGAAAATGAAAGGAAGGTAACAAGCATACCCACCATTGCCACTGGGTGATGCACATCTCCTTCAAAAGAGGAATATAACGTAATTAAAGAGGCTGTATCAGGGGTGAAATGCTCCTGGTTCGGACCGGATCAGGCGATCCAGTAGCGATTGTGGCAGGTGGTTCAGAGAACCGGTAGCGATGGCGGCGCAAGGTGCCGCCCACCCACCTGAGTGTCGTTACTTCCTGCTTTTAAAAGGTTAAAAAAAAGGCTCTGACGATCACGCGCCATAGCTGTGATCGTCAGAGCCTTTTTTTTACCTTTTAAAAGCATTTTCTATTCTATTCTATTCTATTCCCCTGAATAGGTTGTAAAAAAATGCTTTAAAAAAGTAAAAAAAAAAAAAAAAAGTTGGCCACGCCCAGCCAGTCACATTACCCCCCACCAAGCCACGCCCACAGAACCGGTAGTAACAAATTTTACATTTCACCACTGGGCTGTATATCTACTGAACATTCTGAAGTATAATAGATGCTTCACCTGCTCAAAAAGCTCTCCTCGAACGAGGGCTGTAGCAATACGATTGATGAGGTCAGTATTAGCCAGCAGCTCCTCTCGGTCCATGGTCAGCTGTGCTGCTTTAGCCGGTAGCCCAGCCTTCAGATAGAGGCCAATGGCTGCTTGCAAGTCCCCTTGGATCTCCTGCACCTCAGCAGCCCGCTCCTCCTGCTGTGTCTGCAGCAGCCACTCGTAATAGCTTTGACGCAATTTTTCTAATGCAGGATGGTTCTAAGAGAGAGAGAGAGGATAACAGAGGAGGAGGTACCACACCATCCCAGAAACTCGTGATCTTAAGTCTTCAGTGCCTCGCTTACTTTTGCCTCTGCCACTGAGATGCACTCATCCCACATGTGAAGGTCTTGATACATCTCCATGGCTTCCTCCACAGCATTCTAAAAGAGGGGAAATAACAATAATGGATTAGGGTACAGAGAGGTGTAGGGGATGGAAGCAGGGGTAAAATCCAGCAGGTTCTGGAGAACCAGTAGCAGAAATATTGAGCAGTTCGGAGAACCGGCAAATATCACCTCTGGCTGGCCCCAGTGTGGGGTGGGAATGGAGATTTTGCAATATCCTTCCCCTGGAGTGGGGAGGGAATGGGGATTTTGCAATATCCTTCCCCTGGAGTGGGGTGGGAATGGAGATTTTGCAGTATCCTTCCTCTGGAGTGGGGTGGGAATGGAGATTTTGCAGTATCCTTCCCCTGCCACACCTACCAAGCCATGCCCACCAAGCCACACCATGCCCACCAAGCCATGCCCACAGAACCGGTAGGATTTCACCACTGGATGGAAGTATTCAAAATAAGCAATCCCTGCTCCCAGACTTACCTGCTCCAGAAAGATCATCTCTGCCAGCTTGTAGTTTTTTTCTAACATAGCCAGACGGACTCGGACCTGATAATAGTCTGTGCCATCCCCTTCCTGAAGCGAGCAATTAAACAGAGGAGGAAATGTCATTCTCAAACTGTGGGGAAAATAGATTGCCTCCTCCAACTCCATCCATGTAAGTTAAGCACCGGCCAAGTGCAAGAAGAACCCAGACGAGACAAATGTTCTATTGGATTAGTAGGTTCTTCTTTCCCTTTGAGGCAAGAGTTCCTAGACATTTTTGCCATCACACCTCCCTTTAATGTAATCTTAATGTAGATCCCTCACCTAAAAATCCAAACACCAAAATGCACCCAGATGACCAATGTAAACAATACAATTAATCTTTGGGAAAGGTGGATTTATAGTAGCAATGTAACTAAAAGGTTCTTCAGCCCACCCCAGAACTCTACCTGTACCTCCCCAATTTGGGAAACCCTGATTGAAGGAAAAGGGAATTGCAGGAATATGGATATGGAAACCTAGGAGATGGGAGAATTAAAAGAACAAAAGCAAGCTCTGCATTTCACTCACGCATTCCTTGGCCACTTGGTCAGCAATCTCATTTGTGTCATGGAGAAATCGAGCCTTGGATACTTGTCCAAGAGCAGCAAAACACCTAGAAGAAAATATTATTAGGGTTTATTTTATTTCATTTTAAATTTTCTGTTTATTTCAAGATTTATAAGGACACCTAACTCAAGACAGGGTGATGCTGGGTGGTGCACAACAAAAACACATAATAATACAAACAGAAAACAACCAATATATAAATTCAAAGGGTTGCAGGTTTTTGTGGTCTAAAGTGGATAGAAAGTAGAATAAAGTGCCTTCCAGCTCATAACAGATCTAAAGGAAATTCGTAAAAATGTAACTAGTAAAGAGGTGAGTGAGCAAGACTTAACAAGCAGAAATGACCATCCCAATCAAGGTATTCCATGAAAGATGGCAGACTGAATCAAAAAGAATTCCTTGGTTTAAGTGGATTGCTCTCTGAGTGACCCTGTGGGAAAACTAGGTTAATCTATGGCAGGGGTATCAAACTCAAGGCCTGTGGGCTGCATCTGTCTCGCGGAGTGCTTAGATCTGGCCTATGGGGCCGCCCTGGTAACAGCAAAGGACCAGCCCGTGGTGCCTCTGCCAGCAAAATTGGGCTCCCATGTGGCCTTCCCGAGCTCCATTATCACTGGCAGAGGGTTGCAGGAGGCCAGCCCAGCTGAAAATGGAGACTGGGAGCCTGTTTTTGCTAGCAGAGCACTCGGGCTGCCACAGGTGCCCCGACACTAGTGATGCAAAGTTGGCCACATCCACCCTGACCATCCCCTCCTCCCGCCGGCCTCTCCCGACGTCAAACACAATCCTGATGTCGCCCTCAATGAAATCAAGTTTGACATTCCTGATCTATGGTATTAAAACAAACAGGAATCTGTCAGCACCTTTTCCAACTAAGAAATTTTATAACCGGCATCCATATAACCAATTTGTCTTTCACCATCACCTCTGCTTCACCCCAATTTCAATCCTACATCAGTCTAGCCACTGTGCATGTCAGGAGCTGAAATGGAATGCACCTGACAAAAGGACCCAGTTTGTGGGGGCAATAAGCTGACTTTGTATAAATATACAAAAGAATGAAGGCTATTGCTTAGCGCATTGTAAGCCGCCCTGAGTCTCCGGAGAAGGGCGGCATATAAATCAAATAAAAAAAAAAAAGCTTGTGCCTTTTTAGAAAATGTGTTTGTCCAAAACCAGACTCTTGATTCTCTGGCTAACAGTGCCAGATTAACTCTACCACATACTTTTGGGGAGCTAGCCAGACCAAATCACTCACCTTTCAGCAATATGCAGCTGTTTGGCTTCCAATGCTAGTCGACTTAGTGTCTTCCACATGGCCTCTGTCTCAGCGGACATCTCCAATGTTTCTAAGAAAGCTACAGCTCTAAAAGCAGAAAGCAAAGGGGCTGAGTAGCAGTCACCCATGGCAATGGGACACTGAATGATTAAGAATGAGGAATCAGATTTTCTTCAAACTCTCTGTAGACTCCACCAAGGCTTCACATGCAAGGGCAGATTCCTCCCTTCAAGAGTAAGGGTGGACCAACTTTGCTTGCTCATGGATCCCCACCAAAGTTTTTCTGGAGGTTGCTTGGTGGCTGATTCCAGATTCTTACCTGGTTGGAAATGTAAACCTCTCTGGAATCCATTTCAGCCTCTCACCTGTGGTAGTCACCATCATCAATTGCTGTGCCAAACTCAATGAGCCCCTCATCCAGAGTGTAGGACACGGTATTTACACCCTCAGTCACAATCACCTCTGTCTTCCCATTGCTCCTCTCCAAGTCCACAATATCACCCTGCAGGACACAATTTTTAAAACTTAGTTCTTTTCCCACACTATATAATCTGCCAGGCTAGCTCTTGTCTTCCCTTCTGTAGCTGAGAGATTGTGACCATCTGCAGCCTCGCAAACTCCAGCTAATCTTTACCAACTAAGCACTTAAACCATATGCTGGTCTGATACCAGCAGGTGGAGAGCAAATATTACCTTCATGGGGAACATGGTCACTCGTTCTGGTGTATCAATGTTATACCATACACAGAGACTGTTTCGATTCTGGGCTACCACCACGTCACTTCCTGGAACCCATTGCACATAAGAACAGTAGCTAAGGATGGTGGTCTTTACAGCACTGTCAATGTCATAGAGATGCAGCTGGGAATTAGAACAGGTGAGGTGGGTGGGAGAAAAAAAAACACAGCATCAACAGAGGCATGTTTTTCATGTTATCATTCTTTTTCCTTCCATTCAGGGTCCCTACACAACATAGTTCCCTCCCCTTCTATCTCCTCCTGTTACCTTCATCTTTTTATCTCGGAAAAGCAATTTATGACCAGTTTCATTCAGCTCCAGCCAGTCAATCTTGCTGTCATGGCTGATAGTGCCAATATTATAGCTGGCCACAAGGTCCACTAAAGTCAGGAACAAAAGATACAAGGCTCAGAATTAAAGTTGAGATCAACCTCAAGGAATCCAAGCTCGGGTAGAAAAGAAGAAGGAACTTCACTCACCTGCTGCGATGGTCTTAATGTCAACTAAATAAGCCAGTCGTTTGTTCTCCTCAGTTCCTCGTTGCCTCCTCTCATTGAGTCGGACACTAAAAAAAAGTTCAAAAGTGAGAATAGGTATGTGCATGTTGGGAGGGCAGGTGCTTTTACTCTTCAAGTTCCAACAGCAGAAAAAGGTCTCATTATTCACCTGATGAGATGGGGGTTCATGAACTCGGTGCGCACAGAACCCAAAATCTCATTACTCCCATATTCCACTACAGTCAACTCTCCTGCATTGAAGATCATGCAGACCTAGAATAAGATGGGAAGCATGACAATCTGAATGGCAAAGGAAAAAGGGGCATAGGACCTTCAAATGTCATGGCTTCTCATACTTCTTCCCCTTCCAATATTATAGAAATGCCAACCAGAAGAGTAGAACACACTCTTGCAGAAAGAAAGCTGAGAGAGAGAAATACTGGCAATATTTGAATGGGCAGCATGCAAACACTTACATTTTCATTGTCAAAGAAAAACTTCTCATTCCCACCAGATCCCTGCCAGGCCACCTGAGAAGAATAGACAGCGTGCATGAAATCAGACAATCTTACCATGTTCACCCCATTCACACTTGTCTGATGCGATTTGACAAGATTGCTCTTTTACATAACATGCTCCCACTAGCACAGAGGTGTCAAACTCAAGGCCCATGTGCTTTAATCTGGCCCGAGTGGCCGGCCTGGAAATAACAAAGGACCGATCCGTGGTGCAGCCAAAACAGGGCACAGGGGGCCATGCGCGGCCCCCTGCGCCACGTTTTCAGCCTGGGCGGCCACGTTTTCAGCCTGGGCGGCTGGGCCTGCCAGCCAGTTTGACATCCATGCATTCAGAGTGGATTTGATTTAAATCAAGTCGATTTAAATCATGATTTAAATCACTAGTAAAAAGGCTTGATTTAAATCAACTCAATTTAAATCATAATTTTTAAAGAGCAACTGTCATCTCTGTCCCACAGCGGCTCCTCCTCTGACCCGCTATTGACTCACTGACAGTCCCAATATTGCAGAATATATAGCCTCATGCTACATAATTAAGCTCCATTTCATTATGAATAAATAATGTATTGTATATAGAAAACTACCTTTAGACAGATTTTTACTTGAAAAGCATTTTATTAAAATAAATTTAATAAAAATCAAAAAAATCCAATTTAAATAAAAAAAAATCCAATTTAAATTTTTAAAAAATCTGTTTTTTTTAAAAAAAATTTAAAAATTTTTTATCCACCCTGCCTGCATTTCTCAGCATGCATGCTGCTCACGTCATTTATAACTTTCTACAAAGTGATTAAGTTCTGCCAGCCAAGCCCAGTCTGCAGACTCTCACCATGTAAACAACCAGGCTAAGCCTGTTCAAGCAGTCAGGACTGGCTTTATAGTCCAACTGCCAGTAATTTAAGATGCCATGACTGAAAAGAGACAGAAGTATTCAAAAAGGTTAAGGTGAGTTTTATAAACTATTGTCTCCCTCTAGGAAATCATAGGAAAATGGTGAAGTCCCCGGCAGCGAGGATTGACATTTGGAAAAAGAGAGAACAGGGAGGGGAAAAAGAGATTCACATCCATTTCTTTAAAGGTTACCCAGCAAAAATGGATGAACAACCGTCCTCCTGGTCAAAAAAGCTGCAGAAAAGCCAAACCAAGCCAAAGTGATAAACGGCAGAGATCTCAGGGGGATTAAAAACCCGAGAACAGCCAAAGGCATTCAGGGACAGCTTTGATCTCTTGCCATTAATCATGGTTGGAGATACAGAAACAAGCCTGAGGAATCCAAAAAGACATCTGAATCAGGGATGTCTGCAGAGTGTGGTGAAAAAAGTCAAAATCGCAGCCACAACGGTATGATCAAGGCCTTGCCTGTTTGTTTTTTATGCGTGACGCCTAAATCTATGGCTTGAACAAATCACTGTATCTAACTGAATGCAACGGGCAGGAACTAATTAAGAAACAGATCTTATGCAGACCAGCCTCCCAACCTCAATCAGCCCACCATCTTACATGTGAAACATGTTACCTCGCTGAGTTTGGTGGAACTCAGGTCACCCAGAAGCAGTGTATCTGAGGTGTGGGCAACAAGGTAGCGTTCCTTTCCCAGGATTTTCACTTCATCGATTTCATAGCCGTAGTGGGATTTCAAAACTACTCGCATACCGGTGGACAAATTCTTCACGATGACCTGGCATATAGATAAAAAGATATAATAGCAAAGTAGGCAGGAATCTCTTTCCCCCAACCTATATACCTACATGCATATTGGTGTTCTGTAGAATTATGTGTAGAACAAAAAGATGAGGACAGCTCATTAGAGACTAGCTGGTCTTAAGAAAGTCAGGTTGGTTTCCCGGAGGCTAAGAAGCCTAGCATTATTAGCTAAATTGTTGCAATCATTAAATTCTGTCATTTTGTATTCACCTACTATTACATTTAACTTTAGGAAGACTATCCAGATCAATAGCACAGCCTCACACCATGCTAATATTTCTGCCTCTGCCTTCCAATAATACATTTTCAAGTTTAATCTCTACAAATAACTAGTTTGCCTGAAATACTTTAAAGACAACTTTTTTTCCTGATCAAAGGTAGGAATCAGAATATATTAAGTGATACGGCAGCATCATAAAGGAGGTGAAATCAAAGACTTTCAGACTTTAGGGGGAGAACCTGGAAGTCCTGAGTAGGGACGGAAATGGATGTGTCCTGTTATGTATTTTTAGTAGCACTATGTATATCATCATGTTGACTCAGCCTTCCATCCTTCCGAGGTCAGTAAAATGTGGAATCAGATTGTTGGGGGTAATATGCTGACATTGTAAACCAGTCAGAGAGTGCTCTAAAGCACTATGGGGCGCTATACAAGTCTAAATGCTATTGCCATTGCTACAACATGTGTGCTGCGTATATTAGGCATAAAAGAGCTGTGGTGGTGCAGTGGTTAGAATGCAGTATTGCAGAGTAATTCTGCCAACAGTTCGATTCTCACCAGCTCAATGTTGACTCAGCCTTCTGAGGTCAGTAAAATGAGGACTCAGATTGTTGGAGGCAATATGCTGACTCTGTAAACTACTTGGAGAGGGCTGTAAAGCACTGGGAAGTGGTATATAAGTCTAAGTGCTATTGCTATAAAACAGGTACATGTTCAACATTCACATATATGTTGTTATAACACTATGCATTAATTCTCTAAGGCAATAATATCTATTTTGTGACTAACAAACTATTACTGCCCATACCACTTGGAAAAAAATTCTTTGTGGTTTATTTAGTTCTCATTCTGCTGGTATTTGACAATGAGCAAAGGTTCTTGTATTCCAAACTTCACACTTCACACTCATACCTGGCTTGGCCCCACATACGTCATTTCAAATTTGTTCTTGTAAATGCTCCTGCGAAGGCAGCAGTCAAACTGTTCCACTCCACCACACAGGGTACCCTGTGAAAACAAAAGTTTCCTTCAGGTATCCTTTGTGTACTAGCCCTCCAACCCAGAATATGAGATCGGAACACAAGGCCATCCAGGAATTGTATCCACAGGCATGATACAGAGAGGGGAAACACACCGCACAGAGTCGTGAACCATCTCGTTTCCAGGCCAACGCTGTGATGGTATATAGATGAGAAATCTCCTTGGGCTTGGCTTCCTCCCATGCACTGCGACGAGGACTCCAGTTCAACACTCTTAGCCTGAAAGATCAAAGATGGAGTGAGTAGCCAGGAGAGATTTGCCCTACTTCAATCTGTTCCCTTGTTCCATCCTCGAGCATCACACCTGTCAAAACTGCCAATTACTACTGACTGGCCCCCTGGACTGGCGGCTGCAACAGTGAACTCCTTCTCTGAAGCATCTCGACTGTAGTCAAAGGTTTGGATCACATGCCCTTCTTTCCCATAGGCCACAATCTTTTTGTCACAGCCGCAAGCCACAATGCTGTTGGATGCCCATGCCAAGGCATAAGGGGGACAGGGGTGCATCACCAATTTGCCCTGTTGAAAATCCAGAAGCAAAAATCAGAGAGTTGAAAGAGACAAGTGGCAACAGACAGCAAACACTGCACAGTGCTCTCAACAAAGGCTGTGCAAATACTTACCCCAAGCCAACATGAAAATATCATGCTGCTGAGAAGACCCATGACATTTTCTTCGATCCATTAACTGGGTACACAATGGCATTTTAGATATCCTTTTCTGGACATTTATACCGAAAAACTATTTTAATCAGACTAATTCCTCTTAAGACCAATTCCACATCTTGGTAACCAGGTTGGCCTAAAAAGGGAGTCTTGTTCTTTCTGTTAACTTCCAGATATAAGTTTATTAATCTGCACAGGAAATGCAATACTCTTTTTGCTGTGGGGAGCTTCAGCAGCCTAATTTAGCTTGGGCTCCAAGTGCAGATTTGTTCTAAAACAAACACAGCCAATATAACAAACTAGATAGATGTAATAAGGAATTTAATATATGATAACCTTTCCATTTTTTAAGGAGAACTTCCTGCTCATAATATAAAATACCAGGGGGAAATCTTTCATTTTCTGTCTCATATAAATATCCTTTTCTGCATATAGTAGCACACACAAATGGCTTTCCTGTTCTACCCAGTACAGCAGGGAAAAGGCCAAAGTAGATGAGATGGGGGGGGGGATGCCATGATCATTTTAATTACTTTCTTCTTCACATGCCAGGGGAAGCAGAGCAGGGAGAGTGCATCATCTTGAAAGAAAGGCAGAAAATCAGGAAAAGAGATGACGTTGGTAGAAAGAGTGAAGACTGTGAACTGTACAACTCCACCGTCTTTGAAGCATATGTAAGTGTAGAACAGTATGCAAAGTTGTTCACAAAATAGAAAAGAAAATGTACAGTGTGTGTATGCACACAAAGATCTCTCTCTATAAGAAGACTATCCCAGCAACCTTCGAGTCTCCAACTAAGAGGTGCTCTATTCACCTCATTCCAAACTACCTCTCCAGTTTAGTGGAAATTCTTGTTGGGGGAGTATCCATCTTTTCCAGAAATATGAAATCAGGCTAAAAAAAGCTGCCACTCCCTGGATAACACTATATCTTGAAGGAATAAGAGCCGCGATAGCACAGTGGTTAGAGTGCAGCACTGCAGGCTACTTCTGCTGATCACCGGCTGCCAGCAGTTTGGCAGATCGAATCTCACCAGGCTCAAGGTTGACTCAGCCTTCCATCCTTCCGAGGTGGGTAAAATGAGGACCCAGATTGTTGGGGGCAATATGCTGACTTTGTAAACCGCTTAGAGAAGGCTGTTAAAGCACTATGAAGTGGTATATAAGTCTAAGTGCTATTGCTAATAACTGCTTTCCATGTTACACTCACCTCTTTACAGGCTTAATTTGGTTAGAGGAGGAGGACAAAGTTTTTCGTACCTGTGATTCCCCAGAGCCTTCATCATCAAAGAAGTAACGCACAATGGTTCCATCTGCATGTCCAGAGAGGATACCCTTCCCCGAGACACTGCAGAGGGGATATATAAGGAGTGATCAATATGGCATTGCAGGGGATCATTTCTTTAAGCCACTCATTTATTGTGGAGAAAAGATTCTCCACAATCATTTGTAATTCTGTTTACAATGATGTAGGCTAGAGCACTGCAGCCATCAGGCTCAGGATAAGTATCACGTAGCTAATCTACTCAACTGCAGCCTAAAGACAGGTACTCACAATAAACAAGTACTCTATGCCCACAGTCCCCAACCTTTTGGGTACCAGGGACCAGTTCTGTGGAGAGAGATTTTTCTGCAGACCAGAGGTGTGAGGTTTCGCATGCTGCCTGCATCCCTCTGATGGGGCTTCACTTGGTTGCACGGCCCGGTTTCTGGCATGCCACAGACCAGTGTCAGTCCATGGACCGGGGATTGGGGACCCGTGCTCTACGCTCCTGGCCAGCTGGCCAGGAGAGGAACCAGAGCTAGCAACTTCTAGGCAGTCAACTAAGGCACCTCTCCCATTCCCTCACTTACTTGGAGGCCAGTGACACCACATAGGAATCTGTTCCATAAATGGTAGAGGATTTGTTGGTCTTGGTGTTAGCTAAACGAATCTTCAGGAAAGAAAAATCAGGTCATCCCAACGATCAGGGAGCAAGAAGAGAATCAGAATAGACACCCCTCAATATCTGTACTGCTTGGGGAGAATTTGGGGACAGCCAATGACACTTAAGATGAATCAATCTGCAGCAGCATCTAGATGTGGGTGTATTTTTTCCCAATTCCCAAACTGTAATTCTCAAAAAGAGCTCTATGACTCAGCTTCTCTCACCTTGCCTTCAACAAGCCCAAACACAATGGTATTCTCCTCTGGCCATAGCAAACATGTCACAGCACTCTAATAAAGAACAAAGTAAACAGGATAATCAGGAGCAGAAGAAAACAGCTATTCTGCATGAAGACAAAGAAATCTGTCAACTGAATGGCCAGTTTCTGAAATTGGAGTTGCAATGCTGACCCTCCCATAGCTGAACTTCCTCTTAGCAGCTGTGAAAAATGATAGTACTATTAGGCAGAGCTGTTCTGATAATCTTTTCTTCCTGTTTATTCCATTCAGAAATCTTGGTCAGCGTAACTAATCCAATATTCAACTCTTTCCCTCCCTCCCTCCCAAACTTCAGTTCAGGGACCTGTCTCTTATTAATCAAAAAGAAAAGTAGATCTGCCAGTATAAGGATGTATAAGGTGTCTTATTACAAAGACACTTACCGTCTGAATAAACTTGTTGCAGATCACTTTTTTGTCACCCCTGGACAGAATAAACAGAGACAATATTACTGTCAAGGACCAACAAATATTACAAAGCTCCCCTAGGAGATCCAGCTGGGTGAAGTAATATAGGAATAGTGCGAGTAAAGCAGGGGACAGGTGAAAAGGTTATTATATAAATGTACATTTATGATGATATGTGTGAATTTAGTAAAATGAAAAAGTAATTGAAAAGAAAGTAAAAATCGGGATTGCTTGAATACCACCTTGGAAAATACTAAATTGAAAATGAATACAACAATAGAGAGAGAATGTGCACCTTCCGCCGCGCTGTGAAGACTTTTTTATTCCATCAAGCGGGCTTGGCCTAATCTCCTCCTTCTTTTAATATGTAAATTTTAAATCTGTTTTTAAATTATTGGGGTGTTTTAATTTGTCTGGGCCAAAATGATTTAATTTGATTTTATCTGGTTTTTAAATTTTTTGTATTTATATATTTTATTGTTTGGCTGTTCACCACCCTGAGGCCTTCGGGAGTAGGGCGGTATACAAATCAAATAAACTAAAACTAACTAAACTAATGGAGAGGGATAGAAGAGAGGATGGAGAGAGAGGGAAAGAAGAAAGGGAAAAGGAGAGAAGAAAGAGAGGGGAAACAAGAGTAGGAGAGAAAGTTAGAAAGGAGGAAGAAGGGAGGGGTAGGGGAAAGAAAGGGGAAGTAGAGAAGGAAAAGGAGAGGAGGAAAGAAGAAAGTAGAAGAGTAGATGGAAGAAGGGAAAGAAAGGAAAGAGAAGAGAGGGAGAAGAAGGATTGTTGTAAAACAAGGGAGATGAAATGGTAGAAGAACAACCCTGAATATGATTAAATTGTTTAGGATGAAGATTGGATTAGTATGAAAGTTAAAAGAAAATATGTATGTTAGATAAGAAATTGTACATTTAAGATATGTTTATGAGAAAAAGAAAAAAGAAAAAAAGAAAAAAAAGAAAAAAAAAGCAGGGGTCAGGCACTCAGAGTGTGCCCATAGTCTCCTGAAGTTAATGTGACGTTCCTTGCAATTTAGAACTGCAAAAAGCAGGAAATGAATCATCTTCATCCATATCCACACTAACACCAGATGTGCAACTAAAGGGCTATCAATTCAACACAACCTGTTGCTATTTTAAAAGAATGAATTTCCGTTTTCATCCTATCCTACCCAAAGGCACTTACCATTCTTCCCCAATTTTGTATACAAAGATTATGTTGTCTGACTGCCCAACAGCAATCTTAGTAGAATCTGGGGAAAATGCCATTCCTTTTACCACATAGCTCTTCCTGCCATACTGGAAAGAGAAGATAGATAAAGGCTGTAACTTAATGTGCCTGGTGTTTATTCAAAATCATAATCCATAAAAAATGTATATCAGGAGACATCATCATGTCTGAAAAAGTCATTTACATCAATGCAGTGCACCAGGAAAACTATTAGAAGTAAAGGTGATTTCATTCAAGAAGCAGTAAGTGTTTTGCAAACAAAGCAGGCAAAAAGGAACCCAGATTTGCAAAACAGAAATACAAACAAACAGTAAGAGATGAAATAAATTTCTGGGGCATTTTAAAAATAATATCAATAATATAGATAGGCGACAAGACCAACAAAAAAAACAGCTATGAGGTTATACAATTTACTACAGGCTGAGAATATATCTAGAACATGTCAATCATGTATCAGTATATTGATGCCAATGTGTCACTAATAATGTGTACCTTTATGCCATATTTTATGGACATACACGAAAGCTGGAATATGTGAAATCCATCAAATTAGGCCAAAAATGTGAAAAGGTTTATTCAGGACAAAAGTTGTGGGGTTATACAATTCCCACAAAAAAGGCTGTTTTCTAGAACCAAGCGAGACAACAACACTTTGTAGAAAATTACCAGGTCTGTGATAAATGCCAAAATGAAACTGGCCTAATTTAATGGACTGGTCAAATCATTAAAAAATATAAAAATATGTGGAAACTGTAGTGCTTTGGAGTCATGGGCATCTTCAATTTTTCTGGTACTGAGATTTTGACATACATATATAAATATGTAAATGAGTGGTGTTTTTAGTTCAAAAAAATCAACTGTAGAAGTTAGAAATCGGCATTTGTTTGAGTTATGGCTGGGTCTCCGACGAAAAAGAACAAGTAGTGTTTCCGTCCTTCCATCCTTCAGTTGTGGTTTAGTGTGGTTTCTGCTTCATTGCAACATTGTGAAACTGATTTTTAATTATTTCCTGAAATGATTTATTCTAGTTTTACTGTACTTTTAAAGCCTTGGAAGATAATTGAGCTTCTGTACAAAAACTCACAATACATAAATGATGCTTGGTATATCCAATTATGATACTTGCTACCAGTTACAAAAAATTGTCTCTTCCCTTCATATTTGCATTCATCATTTCTAACAAGTATTTTGTATAACAATAATCTGATGGCAGTGTCACATGAATATCTTGTAAAATATTACTCAGGCAATTCCAAAGTAAATGCATTTTTGAAAACTTCTGAAAATAGGTTCAGGATAAGTCTTCATAGAATAGAGTACATTTTCCCTCTCTTAACGCATAGGTCTACAACAATAAAGTACTAAATAATTAAAACTGATTCATCCAGAAGGGCAGCATGTAATGAGAGGGAATGAATGTGTTGAGTCTAACATACCAACTGAGCAACCCATTACTCCCTTTCTCAAATCTTGACTTTGGACCAACTCTGAAATATGATTTCAGACAGCTCGACAACTCAAAATAACAATTTACCTTAGCATCTGCAGGCTTGGTGGAAAACTTGTCCCTACGCTCACCCTGTTCATCATATAAGAGAACCACGCGATCCACTGTGCAAACGGCAAATTTGGTATTATTTGGGGCCCAGGCCATGCAGGTAACTTTGGCTGCCCCATCCTGGAAGAAAGAAACGCAAGAAAAGTTATAGGTAGAATATACAGGCAGACTTCCAGCAAGTCAGATGAGAATTTCTTCAGGTTTAAATGACCCGATGCCAGCCCAATTTCTTCCCCGGGGAAGTGAAGCTATACTACGGTCCAGGCCATGGGCAAGGGACTGCAGGTGTGGTATTTCTCCCCAGGTCTCGAACTTCTCCTTCCCCAAACTGGTTTTTTTCTTCGGCTCAAGTAACCTGTGGAGTAAGTAGAGTCCGAACGTGTCGCAGCTGCATCGCCACCGCCGGAGGCTGCCGCGTCTCCTCCTGTTACCCGAGTAACGTCCCCTCGTGATGACGTCACGGGCTCCGCGTGAAGCGTAAAGGAAAGCCACGCGAACCATAGAGATACGCTAAATAGACGCTTATTTGTGGGAGCAGTCTTCAAATCTCCACTAAGGAAGGGCGGGGGAGGGAACTGATCATAGAAACAGTTGGAAACTTAGTTTTTCAGAACTCCATCTCGCCCTTTAGGACTAGATATAATTGCTATATGCTGAGCTAGATATACTGAGCTAGATATAATTGCTATATGCTGAGCTAGATATACTCAGTATAGCCAACCCTACAGGTACACAGACTAGTGATACTTGGCTTAATGCCAGTAACTGTGAGAGGGATCTTGGAGTCCAAGTGCACAATCACTTAAATAGGAGCTTATACAGGTCGTCCTCGATTTACAACAGTTCATTTAGTGACCTTTCAAAGTTATAATGACTGAAAACAGTGACTTATGACCATTTTTTCAGAGTTATGACTTTTGCAGCATCCCCATGATCATGTGATCAAAATTCAGATGCTTGGCAACTGACTCATATTTAGGACTGATGCTATGTCTCAAGGTCATATGATCGCTTTTTGTGACCTTCTGACAAATAAAGTCAATGGGGAAGCCAGATTCACTTAACAACTGTTATTAACTTATCAACTGCAGTGATTCACTTAACAACTGTGGCAAGAAAGGTAGTAAAATGAAGCAAAACTCACGTAACAAATGTCTCACTTAACAACAGACTCATTATGGTCGTAAGTTGAGGACAAACTGTACTGTTGCAACAGCAGCCAAAAAAACCAAAGCAATCCTAGTAGGGGTGAAATGTAAAATTTGTTACTACCGGTTCTGTGGGCGTGGCTTGGTGGGGGGGGTTTAATGTGACTGGGTGGGCGTGGCCAACTTTTTTTTTTTTTAACTTTTCAAAGCATTTTTTCTAATGCTTTGAAAAGCCTCTGCCGATCAGGCAACTCAGCTGGGATCGTCAGAGACTTTTCAAAGCATTTTTTTACCACCTCTTCAGCCAAGAGGTTGCAGAAAAAAATGTTTTGAAAAGCCTCTGACAATCCCAGCTGAGCCGCGCGATCATCAGAGGCTTTTTTTTTACTTTTAAAAGCATTTTTTCGTCAGAAGAGGTTATAGAAAAAATGCTTTTAAAAGTAAAAAAAAAAGCCTCTGATGATCGCATGGCTCAGCTGGGCAGGGGGAGAGCGCAAGGATTTTTGCTACCGGTTCTCCGAACCACCCGCCGCCATTGCTACCGGATCAGGCGATCCGGTCTGAAGCGGGAGCATTTTACCCCTGAATTTGCATTAATAGAATGATAGACTCAAGATCATGTGAGGTATTAATACCACTTTACAAAGCCTTAGAAGACCACACATGAAACACTGCATCCAGTTTTGGTCACCAAGATATAAAAAAAGATGTTGAGTCTCTGAAAAAAATGCAGAGAAGAGCAACAACTATGATTAGGGGGCTAGAGAATAAAACATGAAAATCAGTTATAGAGTTTGGGTATGTCTAGTCTAGTGAAAAGAATGACGAGGGGAAATATAGCAGTGTTCCAATATTTGAGGGGCTGCCACAAAGATAATGGTGTCAAACTATTTTCCAAAGCACCTGAAGGCAAAACAAGAACCAATGGATGGCAATTAATGAAGGACAGCAGCAACCTACAAATAAGGAGAAATTTCCTAATGGTGAGATCAATCAACCAGTAGAATGTCTTGCCATCAGAAGTTGTGAGTGCCCAAACACTGGAGGCTTTCAAGAAAAGATTGGACAGCCATTTGTCTGAAATGGTATAGGCCAGGTAGCTCCCCAGCCCTCAAGCAGCCCTTTTCACCTCCCCCCAGAATAGGGAGCAGACACACTCCAAATAATTTCTTAGTTGTTTGCCACTGACCAAACTAGGGTTTGAGTTATGCTGGAGATGCCCGGGACTGAACTCTCCAAACCCCACAAAGCAGATTTTTTTTCTATCACCAAAGGAGAATTTTCCCAGAAAGTTAAATCCTAGATTTCATGACTCTAAATAAAAAGAGATAAATATGAATATCTTCTGTGCATTTGTCCTACACAGTGGTTGTTATAGTCCTTACACTGTATTTTATCGATGTCTCCTATTTTTTTCTTTTACTTGATCTTTTGATTTACTTAAGATGTTTTTGAGGACTTTAGTTGGTTTGTGTGCTGTGGTGATGCTGTGTAGTTATAATAGTCTGTTGGCTGTTTTTGAGATGTTTTTGATGTATTGCATTGTTATCCTTTCCATAGCTTGCATTGGTTGTGGGGCAGTGGTGGGAGTCAACATTTTTTACTACTGGTTCTGTGGGCGTGGCTTGGTAGGCGTGGCAGGGGAAGGGTACTGTAAAATCTCCATTCCCACTCCACTCCACGGGAAGAATACTGTAAAATCTCCATTCCTTCCCCACTCCAGAGAAAGGTTACTGCAAAATCCCCATTTCCTCCTGATCAGCTGGGACCCGGAAGGCAGAGAATAGATGGGGTGGGGCCAGTCAGAGGTGGTATTTACCAGTTCTCCAAACTACTCAAAATTTCCGCTACCGGTTCTCCAGAACTGGTCAGAACCTGATGGAACCCAGTTCCATCAGGTTCTTGATGGGGTCCTTGAAGTTCTCTTTGTTCTTTTCTTGTAGACTTTCCATTACCTAATTAGATAACATCATCAATGCTAGCATCCCACAGTTCAACCCTAGCTACAAATATTCTCTTCCATTTTGTTGGTTGTGCTATAGTGGGCTAAATGGTCAGGCATTTTTTGGTAAGGTTCTATGGGTATCCATTTTGTTGGAAGATGTTGCATAAGGAGTCTGTTTACTTTTTCTGATGTTCTTGGCTGCTGCACTGTTTGTGCTTGTCCAGATAATGTTCTTATACAGCTCTTCTGGTTGGAAGTTGGGTTGTTACTTTGGTCATGGAGCGCTTGGCTAATGTGAGTCAGACTTCAGTTTCTAATTTGCTGCCATTTCCTCTACTGATTAGGATATCTAGAAAGGTTTATGTTGTTTTCTTCTTTTCTTCTGAATTTTATTTCTTTGAAGATGTTGGTTCATGTATCTCCTCTAGTTCTTAGCCCATTTTTTCATACAATCTTTTACTTCTTCTATTTCAAATTTTGATAAAAAATATACATTTTACCAGTTACACGTTCATCATTTGTACATAGTTCAACTTTAAATTTTGTTTTCTGTTCAATTCCAAATATCTTATTATTCACATTGACTGTGTGGCATTGAAAACTAAATCCTTCTCAGAAAATTGCTCTTTTAGTTTCATCTTATATTCTCCATGTTGTTGTTCTTTTCATACGTTTTTCTTTACCAACTATTTCTTTCGTATAAAATGCTTCTTGTGCTGAGAACCCATAAAAGTATTTGGTACGATCTGAATTAATATCTCTTCCATATTCTCAATAGGAGACTTCTAATTAGTGATTCTTGAAGTCTGTATTAACCTTAACTGTATCACATTACAGAAAACAATGCCATCAAAACCTCAGATTGTTCCCTTCTAATTCTAAAATTCTAAAATATAATTTAAACCCCAACTATCTGTTCTACTTAGGTAAGAGCCTACTTGAAACAGAGAGTGCAGTTCTATATTCAGAGAAATTGAAATGGGTTCATTTCAAACGGGAAACAAAGATAGCCAAGAGATGAGAATCTATTGAATGGGGAAAAACTGAACACAGTTTAGCTTAGGGAAAAGATGACTGAGAAGAGATACAATAACACTCTTCAAATACTTGAAAGGACATCATATAAAAGAAGCTCAGAGACAGGATTTGTTATCTCTGATTCTGGAGTGCAACACAGAGAAAAGTGGATTTAAGTTACAGGGAGGCCAGGGCCGGATTTAGATGAAAAGAGGCCCTAGGCTATTCCACTTATGAGGCCCTTTCACCTATAGTGAAAGTGTAATTTTAATTTTGCTAACAATTTGAATGTAGGCCCCTCTTGATCTTGAGGCCCTAGGCTGAAGCCTAGTTAGCCTATAGGAAAATCCGGCCCTGAGGGAGGCAAATTCTGATTAAATGTTGGGGGGGGAAAACATCCTAATAGCAAGCTTGATAGGAACCAATTATTCAGAGTTGATGGACTCCCCTTCATTGGATTTGTTCATATGGAGTCAAGATGCTCCTAGACCCTTTAGGATGCTTTAATGAGGATTCCTGTCCAAAGCAAGGTGTTGGAATTGATGACCTAAATTAGAGGCCTTCAAACTTGGCAGCTTTTAAGACTTGTGGACTTCAACTCCCAGAATTCTCCAGCCAGCTATGCTGGCTGGAGAATTCTGGGAGTTGAAATCCACAAGTCTTAAAGCTGCCAAGTTTGAAAACCTCTGACCTAAATCCACCTGCTGACTGGGGAACCCTGGAAGTTGAAGTCCACACATATTTATTTATTTATTTATTTTATTTTATTGAATTCTCCCGAAGGACTCAGGGCCAAAATTATTAAAGTTAACCTGCTTTATTATTATACTATTTAGAAATAGTGGCCTAAATGACATGTTCCAATTCTGCCTCAGCAAACCTGTTTATAAAACAATCGCCTTATTAGTTTGGGAAGTGTTGTATTTTTTTTTTAATAGGAACAACATATACGTTCCGAGTGTTACATTCTTCTTTTAAATTCCATGGGGCGAGAAGACTGCGAGTAAAATACAACAAACATCTACTCCGGTTGCTCGCTGTTAACCGAATCGCAGCACTAAAATTGCCATTTGCTCCCCATGCAGTTCTTACTTCCCGATCTCATTGTTTGGGGGGGGGGTGGACGGGGACGCAACTACAACTTCCCCAGGTGCTTTTTAATAGACCACTACTGTATCTGTGTCGCCTGGTCTCGATCGCGGCGCATGCGTGCTGGCTCTACCCGAAGGCAAGGTGCATAGACGTAGAGAAGTCCCACCCACCGCCGGTAGAGCGTCCAAGACCCAGCCCGAGGCTCCTCTCTTGCTAGTGATGGAAGCGCTCCGGGCTGCTGGACGAGCGGTGCTCCGGAGTCCCAGCCTCGCCCGCCACCGCTTGGGCGTTGCCCGCCTCCGTCGCCACAGACAAGGTTAGTGCGAGAAAAGCGCCTTACTGGGCGTTGCGGGTGTAGCGCCGCGGTTGCTAGGAGACAGCAGGACGCGCAACCAAGCTGCTGCTCCTCCTTCCCCCACGGCCGCTCTTCCTTGCTTCCTTTCTCGTGGGATACTCGGGGACTCACAGCCGCGCGCATGTAGCGCCCTGCCCCGGCGACGCCAATGTCCACGGGACTGGAAGGGCGGGGAACGTTGCTAGGTGGAGACTGGAGTGGTGGTGGTGGGGGGGGGGGCGCTGCTTTTTTTCTGGAGCGCGAAATTAATTAGTGGCGCTCCATCCTCCCCAGCTGAGCTGCAGCCCCGAGGGAAGGGGGTTGTAAGGAGGAGGCGTTTTACTTGACCGACGGTAAGCCCCCCACCCCCACTTGGGCCACCTGAATGGAAGAACCGAGGCAGACTCCTCCCCAACACAGTGGGGGCTAACCCTGTGCTGGGGGTTCAGATCCTATTCAAATATTTGGTACCCTGGTGGGCTGGGTAGCCGGGCTACTCTCAGTGTTGTACCAGGTTTGTACAACATTGTACAACGGTCAGGACATAACTGAATCGATTTTGTAGCTTTTTGAATTCTTAAATCTTAAAATTTGAATTGGTATTCCCACGTTTAACCTTATTTATTGGATATTCTGTTTTGATTTGTGTTTTAACTTTTGTATTCTCTGTTTCTTATTGTTGTGAGCCGCCCTGAGTCCTTCGGGAGAAGGGCGGCATATAAATCCAATCAATCAATCAATCAATCAATCAATAACTGATGCGTTTGCGCAGTAGGCACAGTTTGGTTAGCTTTGATTTCAGATCCCTTTCCCTTCTGATCTACAATCGCTTTCGTTTTTAAAGAAAACAACAGTTTAATACTAATATATAACCTACTTTATTATCTTGTCGTGTTTGCGACTTTTAACACCCAAAAGGCATTAATATTTGTTGCTAGATAAACTAAACAGTGGAATAAATGGCATCCTTCAAAATTTCTTATCTTTCTTATCAAGAGCCTTGGTAGTACAGGGGTTTAAGGCACCCTGTTATTAAGCTTATTAAGACCAGCTGCCTGCAATTACTGCAGGGTTCGAATCTCGCCAAGGCTCAAGGTTGACTCAGCCTTCCATCCTTTCTAAGGTAGGTGAAATGAGGACCCAGTTTGTGGGGGCAATAAGCTGACTTTGTATAAATATACAAAAGGATGAAGGCTATTGCTGAGCACATTGTAAGCCGCCCTGAGTCTTCGGAGAAGGGCGGCATATAAATCAAATTTAAAAAAAAAAAAAAAAAGGCTGACTTTGGTGCCTATCTTGGACCAAGGAAAATATTTTTTTAGAGTTGAACCAAACTCATTGGAGTGACAGTGACGGTTACAGTGCTCCTACCTCAGTGAGGGAGGTAGGAGCAAAGGCAGGAAGATTTTGTTTTAGATGCTTTCCACTTTTTAAAACTGATGATAGTGCTTCCATCTACGGACGGTAGTTATACCTGGTTGAGCCTCTTCATCTGCCCTATATCCTCATAGTGAGAGGGATAGTAGAAAATGGGCCTGCAAGTAGTGGAAACATAGAAACACAGCCCCTAAAATGCTTTTGATTTGGTCCAGCTATTAGTTATTTCCAACCAGAGATGTTCACAAGGTGGATATGTACAGATGTCAAAAGCAGCATGTATTGATATGCTATGAGTTTCATCCACTTTGTGCATAATGTTGGAAGCTAGACCTTGCAATCTGACACTACTTTTGTTATTTTGAGGGAAATGGTGGATTCTACAGAAGCCTTCAGTTTCAACTTGACATGATTTGTGGAAGAAATATATAATTGTTTTTTTGTTTGCAGCCCCATCTACATATGAGGAAGGTTGAAGAGCCCAAAAGTTTGCAAAACCCAGAAGGTCTCTAGAGAAAGCTTTTGTATTTTATATGCAGAGTCATGATAAAATACCTGCTGCTACTGAGAGGTTGGCATGGCATTGCTTTTTCTTCCATCTTTACTAAATTATTTTTGCCTTGCTTTGCAGAACTCCCAGAATCCTGGGCTGACATGCGTGAACCCCTCTTGGAGGGCATGAGTTTTTCCCTGAAGTACTTAGGCATGACATTGGTGGAGAAACCAAAAGGGGAGGACATGGCAGCAGCTGCCATCCACCGGATCATTGCCATGGTAAAAGATGTATTTCTCTTCTTATCATGTTCTTCTCTTCTTGTAATACAGGCTTGCAGAATTACGAAGACTTTTATGTCTCAGGACTTCATAAACAAGCAGTGCTCAGAGGTGGGATGATTAAAGCTTGACACTTCAAACTGTGAAGGAGAAAATGGATGGCAGCTCCCATTCTTTTTATCAGCTTTGTAGATTGCTATTTTGATGTTTGAATTCTTTATACATTTAGAGGTAAAATATTAGCTAAACAGATCTGTATTCACATATAATGTATGAATAGAATTTGAAGGTTAGCTGTGAATACCTGAAATCTTCGATTTACAATCATAATTTAATTTCCTCTTGTTTTAATGTAGATGTATTTCTATGTCTGTAAGCTGCCCAGAGTTATCTTATGGTAAGATGGGCAGCCAATGCATTGTATAAATAAATAATTGAGCCCGGACCTAAGTTGTGATAATGGTAAAGTGGATCACTGCATGATTGCACCCTATTTTATGCTCTTTGTGGTGCTTGTTAAGCGAACGTGGTGGTTGTAAAGCGAACAAAATGGTCATTAAGTGAATCCATTGTTCACTATGGAGCACTTTCTGCTGGAAACATAAATTGTAGTCATGTAGATGCAGAACGTGGCAAATGATCATAAATGCAGACTGTTTGCTGAACATCCAAAATGTAATCACGTGACACTGATAGTGGGGGGTGGACATCAGAACTTCGAATCTGGATCTTAAGTCCCTTTTTCAGTGTCCTTTGTAACTTCAAATGGTCGCTAAGGATCAGTTGTAAGTCGACTAGCTGGAAATGTAATCCACATCTGGACATGGGCTTTGTGGATGCATAACTTCATAACAGTTTGCTGGATTTGAATTCTGGATTTGACCCAGAAAGAGATAGTTCTATGTTCAGATCCACAATTGTTTCGTGATCCACTTCTTCTCATCCTTAGGCTCGGGTGGGACCTAAGAAGTTCCAGAAGATGATTCTGACTGTGTCACCCAGGGGCCTCTCTTTGCAAGATGCTGAGACCAAGGAAACAATTGAAACCATCTCCATTTACAGGTATGGCTTCATGGAGGAAGACTGAATTCCTGGTAGAACGCTGCCGATGGACAGAGAAATGACTAAATGGCTCGTTTGTTCTAATTGTTCCTGTATGATGTATCAAGAAACATCAGTGACTGGCTAATGTGCATGCAGAAGCTACATCAATCATGGCATGCTGTACAGTATAAGAAACTAAATTGGGGCTAATTTGGAAGCTCTCCTGGGCCTGCCCAGAAGCATATCCTTTCCATTAAAAAATGCATTTCTATGCAGAGGAGTTTACTGGCTGGATTTACCACCTTTCTTATTGCTAATTTAGGAAATATGCTTTTTATATCTGCATACTTGGAAATTCTTTCCCTCTCCATTTTTTCATGGGCTGTCTACATTTCAACTTCTGTTGCTCATTTCTGTTAGGAATCCTTTGCTGTTGCAAGAACTGACCTACTTTTTTTATGCTGAGGGCTGCATTTGATGTTGAAATGGTATAATAGGAGATGCGCTGTGAGAAGTGGGTCAAGCCAGGGCTGAAAAACAGGCAAGGCTCTACCAAAAGATTTTTAAAATCTAAGGAACCCTCTTCCACGGTATTAACCTCTACCACCGCTAAATGTAACAGGTTCAGAGTATTACTATTTTAATGTATTTTTCGAAAAGCCACAAATACCCCCTCCCAGATGTTTGCTCCCAAGACCTCAGTAGCAATTCAACAAACCATTGGGCCTCATGTCAGCTGTGGAAGCCTTGCCTTTTGCTCTTGCCTAACTGGCAAATTATCCATACTCCCGTCAATTCATGTGGTTCTTTTTTCCTATTCTGATTGTGTCTTCATTAGCAAATATGTCTTACTCTAAGCCCTTTCCTGATCTTAGGCATAGACTGCCTCTACCCTTTTTGTGCAGGCTCTTAAGAAACGAAGCCCAAGCTTTTTCTTTTTTGCAGGATTTCCTATTGTACCACAGACAAGCTGCAGAACAAAGTCTTCGCCTATGTGGCACAGAACCCACAAAGCGGTGCCCTTGAATGCCATGCTTTTCTATCACCTAAGAAGAAGATTGTGAGTTTCTGTGACTTCAGTGGGGAGGGAGGAGGATTTGTTCTGAGATTCTGTGGTTTGCCTTGAGACAGCATCTGTCTGCCTGTGCCTCAGGAGGGGGGAAATGTTCATGTTAGTTTCTGCTTGACCTGCTCCTCCTGTGTATTTTCTCTTGTCATGCTTTCTCTCCTCATCTCACTTTATAGGCCCAAGCAGTGACTCTCACTGTGGCACAGGCCTTCCAGGTGGCCTTGGATCTCTGGCAAGCTACACAGGCAGGTATGATTGATAGATAATACATTCCTGTAGTTATAATTGTCCCCCCCCCCACCATTTTGATTGAACTCCTTGCCTTTCTCCAATGCAGAAGGAAGTGAGATGCAGGAGTAAGATCTGGCTAGCCTGTGAAGCTTAGATGGTGCTACGCAAAGGATGGAGAGTGTTGAGAGGAGGGGGAACTTCCAGTATTATTATTATTAAGTTGGAAATGAAAATTAGTTGTAGGGTTTCTTTTCTCTTCAGGCTCCAGGGAGGAAGAAAAGCATCTTCCAAGGCCAATGTGCCCCATAGAAACCACTTGTCAGCCAGTCAGGACACCTCTGGGCAGTCCCCCATTCAAAACAGACTTTGAGGTATTGTATGTCCTTAGCTCGTTTCCCCTTTATTTTGCATGCAATGTATTAGCTATGATGGCCAAGAAAGGTTCCCAGCTTTGGAAACAGGTGAGCACATCAGATCCATAGTCATACTCACCTCGTAGGGAGAACTGAAGAGTCCAAGTTTCAAAATAATCTCTTTCTCTAGGATGAAGATGATGAGGAAGGAGATCTTAATGAAACCTTCTCTAGGTAGGCATTTGAAGCCCGTGTCAGGGTCAGGCTGGGAGGCCAGTGCCCAGGATGTCTCATGGCTGGAAATGTGTGAATGGAATCCCCTGTGGCTGCAACATTAAGTAGCCTGGGTGGATAGGAGTAGTTTAGACCTAACATGTCTTTGTTTCCCACTTCAAAGCTGCATGGAGGAGGGGGGCTGCCCCACCACAGGTAATAATCTCTCCATCTAACTTTGCTATCAACATATTCCCAGGTTTACCTTCTATAACAATTGGGAGTATGGAAACCTGCTAACGTTTATATTTTGTCATGTCTATGATGTACGTAATTGGCTTTCCTTGGCTTTAGTGAGAGAGCTCTAATCCCTTTTTCTGGAGTGAGTTCTTCCTTGTATTACTCACTGTATGCCCGAACTGGAAGAGGACATGATTCCCCTCAGTCGTTTTACTGCTAACTTTGTATTTCAGATTCAGGGAGCCTTACCTTTGGGAGCTCCCCAGACACACAGTTCCACTCAGTGGCAGCCTGGGGATGCAGTCCTCCCAGCAATTGCCTGCCTCCAGGGACACTGTTCTAAATCACCTGTTGCTGCCATCACTATTCATCTCCAGCACCATTTTGTTATCTGCAATGCATAAAGAACAAGGCTGATTTCCTTCTCTCCAGCCACAGACCCCCCTTGCCTTGAATAACTTTGTATTGTTCAGAACTTAAAAGTCAATACCTCCTAAAAGCATCAAGGTGCCCAAAGTGCTCCAGGGACTTCATTGGTTCTACTCAAAAAACTATATTCTACAAGGATGCCAGAACTCCCGTGCTTGATAAAGGCAATAGATACACTTTTTATACTAGGGCATTGCCCTGAATGCAGAGGTAGGTGCTATGTAGCAAAAGCAATTAGATTTGTAATTCATTTCTTGCCTCGTTGAATTGGGGTGGGGAGCCTTGTGGATGTAGAAAAGTTCTGGCTTCTGTTTTACTTGAGAGGGTGATCCCTTGCCCACAATTACTCATCACTGCCAAACCACAGCTTTGTAGCAAAAGATTTAATTTTTAATGTCATTTTTAAAGGTAAATAAATATTTCTACAATTGTATTTTGGGGCATTTTTTTCTTTCAATTGCTTCACCTTAGATCGATGAACAAGGGAGAGGGAGGTGTTGGGAAGACTGTCTCCTGGGAGTCAATTCCTGCATAATATTCCATATCACAAAGTTTGCTTTCTATCCCTAAACCAAATACTTTGAGGGATATATTCCCCCTTCTCTAGTCTCTTGACCATTCTGATGGAAGCAGCAGCATCTGGCCTTTGACAGTGTCATGGGTATGTCTTGGTCGACATGAAATGAAATTGGTCTTTGTTAGTGTCTCTAAGCAGAATTGATTCTTCTTCAGTGAGTTCTTTGTTACGGTCCCTCTCTAATTGCTCCTCTTAGGTAGCAGTCTTCTGAGTCTTTACAGGAGAGGAAACCTATGGGTCTTTCAGAGTCCTGATAAATCCTTTAGTCTCAGCATGGACACCTCCTTCCAGGAGGGAATCATCAAGAAATTGTATATGCTATATATTACTGGGTATTTTGAAGTAATAAAACAATGAATGGGGTTTGTTAATGAACATCCTTATCAAGTCTCAATTTCAAGACATTCTCATCACTTGAGGCCAAAAAGGAGATGCTCGGTCAAGCTATTTGGAACTAAAAGGAATGTTGTGGACCAAGCAATTCCCTCCCCCGTACATCTGCTACAATACATTTCACTTGGACCATTTGCAGCAATTCCTAGAGAAGAGTGTGTGCACACAAGTATGGTCATGATAATAAATATACTTTTTCTTTCCAGTTTTGAGACTTGTTTGAGGTAGACCCTTCTAGCCAAAGCCAAAGTTTCTCCTGTCTTTTGAAAATAAAAGTTATTTGAATCTATATTAGATATGTTCTAAGAATATGATCATCCATGATTGAGCAAACTGTGGTTCAGTCTCATTTTTGAGGGTTTCCTCTTCCTGGTGAACCACAAACTGATCATCTGACTTTGTATAAATGATTGGGGTGAAATGTTGGTTATTTTCGGTGTCTGTTATGTAAACACAGATGTGGGTTTTATTTCTTAGGTTTTAAATTCACTAGAATTTTTCCCCCAGTATTTTATAGCCAAAAGAGATGATAGGACAGTATAACAGTATAACATAACAGTATATCCATGGCTTCAGTGCTATAAAAAACAATGTGTGATCATTCTGGGTGTTATGGCAATGCAACTGTCTTAGGTTTGTCAAATATAAATGTTGATATGATTTCAAATACCAGCCCAGCTATGACCATTACCCAGAGAATTCATTAGCAGTGAAAAGTTCCACTCTTACTAATGTACAAGGTAATACTGCCTCATTTTTCACAGGTGCCAGGATAGCCTTTTTATGGGAAAATGAATGCCACCTGAATGGCACATTTTCCTGACCCTACAGTCAGTAACACATGGATAAGTGGGTGCTGGCTCCATAGCTCTTCTGGTCTCCTATGCAATCATGCCTTGCTCTACTCCCTAGAGCACAATACTCATAGCTGAGGAAAGGCTAGGATTCTTGGAAGACAAAGGATGCTGCTGGTATTTCTGTGCCACCGGTGATTCATGTGGCTGCTTCCTGGTTTCGGCCTTGGTTTTGGGAATGAGATCTAATTCTCTGCTGGCATTAACAATTTGACTAAGAGCTTGTTACAGATAGGAAATGCTGGCTGGTGAGAACATTGTATATATGTGGCTCTCCCACTAATATGTAAGATGACATTCTTTTAGCTCCTGCCTTTGTGGTTCTGGGGAGGGATAGAGGGACAAGAATAGGGAATAGTCTTCTCAATTGGGGTATAGATTTGGGGATGTTTGACACATTGATGGCAGAAGAGTTGTTGTCACAAGGGAGATTACAGAAGCAAAAAGACTTTACAAAGAATTGATAGCAGCTTAGGGCAATTCTGATAGTAGGTGTACTCTGAAAGAGAAGGTACAGTAACTCTAGAACAGGGGTCCCCAAACTTGGCAGCTTTAAGACTTGTGGATTTCAACTTCCAGAATTTTCCAGCCAGCATATTGAAGTCCACAAGTCTTAAAGCTGCCAAGTTTGAAGACCTCTGCTCTAGAAGCTCACAATGATGCTGCTTCTTTCTACTGCTCTTCAGAGTAACATGATATTTTCCCAATAGGCTCTGGAATTAAGCTCTTACTAATGGTTGGTATGGGGTGTGAGTACAGTCTATATAGTTCATCTTTTTCTCCACTCCTTGATGAAAGCAGACTACTGGACAGGTTGAAAACTTTTGGGTTCCTTGTATCGGTCATTCATTTCAAGATGCAGTTTGTTTCTCTGCCACTTGCTGGAGACATGGAGCCTGGATTTGTAGGACTGCAGTCCATGCTTTAGGTTCTCATTCAGGGTTGAAGGAAAATGTGGCCCAGTATAATGCTGCTTCCCACGTCAGCAGGAAGGAAGTCTTCGCTCAAGTCTGTCCCCAGGTTAGCACTTCATAGTGCTTCCTGCTGCTGGTTCGAAGGCTTTGCAGCTGGCTGTTCCTTGTGGCCCAGGCTTGTTTCTGTTACAACTTCAGGACGAGAGGTTAGTTAGAGGCCAGCTTCTACATGCACCTTGTCTTGGCAGCTGGCTCCATGCAGATCCCTCCTTCAGGGCAAGAAGCTTTAATTCTTTGCATGCAGGTGAAGAGCCAGACCCAGAGCCCAGCAATGTTCCAGCAGCCTTCTGGAGTGCTTCGAGCCTGTGTGGCAACAGCTATACTTCAATGATATTGATAGATGGTGATTTCTTCTGTACGAGAGAGAGATGTTTATGCTAATAAGTTTTTTTAAAAAGTGCAGTGGTAACTGATTCTTCTCTAAATTTCTATTTTCTATTCCCTTTCTGTCCATTTGATTTCTTTTATTCTGTTCCTCTGTTGCGCTCAACAAGAGAAGAGTTTTGAACGAAGAGAGCCTGTCAAAGGGTCAAAGCCACCTAAACTCTTATTGTAGGATAGAGGGAGTCCTTCAGTTATAATGGCAATTGGGGCAAGAATTTCCATCGCTAAGTATGCAGTCATAAACCTCAATGATGCGGCACCTCATTGCTTAGTGACAGCAATCCTGGTAGTCTCAAGCAAGGCGCATGGGGGGTTGCATGTATCTCGAAGGGGTTCCATGGACAGACACTATGAATCATGGGGTGGGGGGATGCTGTAGCTGGACACTGTGAAGCATGGGTGAGCTGGCAGGGACTATAGGTGGGCACATCTGAGCATTGGCAGGCTAGTAGAGGCTGCAGCCAGGCCCTACAGATACAGGTTGGTGCCAGGGGCTGCTACAGTGAGTGGGCAGGCAGGGAATCCCTGGGATCTTGTGCTCCATGGTGGGTGTCCTTGGGAGAAAAAGTGGTGGGAGTGACTTCTAGGAGCAACATGACCTTCCCTGCCAGCTTCCCCATTGACTTTACTTGTGAAAAGCGGACAGGGAAGGTTTCAAATGGCGATCATGTGACTGTAGTTTGCTGCAATGTTGTGCCTGGATTATATGCATGCTATTACTAAAAGCGAATTGAGATATGTAATGTTTGTGTATATATCTAGAGGAAGTCAAGCCCAGTTCAATGACTATCTTAACTAACTAGATACTAAATGAAAACATGGAATTTTCAAACAAATATAAACCAATTTGTTACCAACTTAGATTACCTATAAAATTGGTTTTATGTATTCATGGATGTTAAACTATGGCTGCTAGTGATTATGCCTAACTAACCAGTTTGGGAAGCAGTATACTCAAATGGATGGGAGAGAGTGTTTGCTTGTCCTCATATTCTGCTATTAGTTTCATATATATCCCTGGCTGCTCTGCCAACAGAATGCAGGACAAAAGGCTCTTAATAGGACCCAGTCTCTCTCTCCCACGCTATTTTATTCACCCATCCAATAGCTAATATTCTCTGGGCCGATACAAAATGATTGCACCATTTCAAAGCATTCAAATAATAGAATAACACAGGGCAAGATAAGGTAAAGATAACGAGAGATTATATAATAGATAATATATGATAATACAAAACTAATGATAGATAATGGAAAGTGACTGCACAAATTTCAACACTGTATAAATGTATGAGTAAGAGGCTATCTTAACCTGAAAGGCTGAACATGGGCCACAGATATAAATACGAGGCAAAGCATGTGCCAGCAAAAACTTATCCTTTATTCTCCTATACTGGAGTTTCTTGATTCTCTTCAGACAATCTTAGAATTAAGAAGAATAATGTTTAATAATAGATAAGAATAACAGTTTTTCCACTCTATGAGTACATTCTCATCCTGCAATGTTAAAAGAAGTGTTTCCTTAGTAGTTTTATTATTTTTCCTCTCCTTTGCCAATTCTTCCTACAATACATTTTCTTATCTTCCATTGGTAATTTAAGTATCCATCTTGCTGTCCTTTTCTCTCTATAGCTGTATTGAAAAGATTCTTTCCTTCTTACTTCCAAGATGCAAGAAGGTAACGAAAGAATGCAACTGAGTAAAGTATGAATTTCTTTTTGTATAGTGGTAAAATTAATTATATTTGGTTAATTAAACTGTGATTTTAATGTTACAGTATCATGATCAATCAAACACTTCTTCAAGATGGGGAGGGAAACTTGTAAATTATTTACAACTGACATTTTTAAAAAATCTGTTCCTCCATCATACTGCTACTGTCAGTCTGTGGGAGCTGTTTGGATAATCACTCCAGAAACTTGCTAGTTGAGATTTCACTTTTTCTCCCTCACTCCATATTGGTTTGGAAATGTTACCTTCCTATTTTCAGATTTCTTCTCAAAATTTATCTTTTCAGAGAAGCCTTTATTACATTCCCTTAGAACTAAACCACATGCTTGCCTTGTTTACACTAAGGATCATGCTTTCCTCTTACTTCAAATCTCTTCCCATTCTTCAGTTGTTTCAACTATGTCCATTTCAAACCAGAGCAACTCTTACCACTCATTATTATTACTGGGCACAGTGGACTGGGCTGATGGAAGTTGCTCAATGACTGGAGGACTCATCCAAGCTGAAAAGTGTCCGTTCA